AACGAATCATTATATTCTTCCGTTCCAACTATCTCTCACTATCCTGCCCTAGTTCCAAGCAATCTACAGAAAAAACACAATGGGAGTCTCATGTACAAAGTAGGAACTTGCAAAATTTTGCCCAGAGTCTTTCTCCAATTCTCCATGCAAGAACCAAAATTGGCACATGTAAAGACGCAGCGTTCCTTCTTTATAAAAAAAAGTGTCCTTCGTCCCCTTTTCTTCACAACGTATACAGAGATATGTGAAGGAAAAGATATATTATGCAACTCAAGTCAGCCTGAACTTCTCCATTGCAAAAGTAGCGAGAAATATAGCACGGCGGCAGGCATGTGTACGTAATACAAATAATAATGCACAGATACGTAGTTTCAGAGATAAACAAAAGGACATTCAATTCACTCCAAGTAGCCTCCACTACCAGACCAGATTCTCTTCTCTGCTTTCTAAATAAATATTTGCTTTAGGGCTGCGGACTTTCACCATGCCCTCAATTCCTCCTCGAGAGCAGGCTACTTGAAAGGAAACAAAAAAATCATCGTGGTCTGTTTTGTGTAAAACGAGGTATAGCGGATTCCAATTTCTAGTGAAAATCAACACATTACGAAGAAGAGGGAGGGCCATACGTGTGTGTTCATTTACTGCTGCGGGCATTAGAGCAACAGACGCCTTTCAGCGAATGTTTAGTACAAAATCTTCAAAGAAATTGTCTTGAGCTCCTTCTTCTTACTTCATATTTCCGCTTCCACGTATCTCTAACACGCAACAAAATGGGCGAACATTTCAATGAGCATAAAAGAAACACAATGTTCTTCTATGTTGCGTTGAGTGAGGTTTCTCGCAATCTTTTGGAGGGTGGAGAACAGGAGAGAAAGTTCAAAGAGAAAGCGCACCAAAAACGTGTGTCGATGGCTCATCGTCCCTTTGATGTCGCCACAAAGTGATGGACATTATCGTAAATGGGAAAAAAAGTCAGAATCGAAAATATGCACAGGAAATGAAAGCTTGTGTATTTACTAGTGCAGATCTACATGCATATACGCAATTACAGTATGCATATGCTTATGTGTTTAGTTCTATTTAAGAAGTAAATATGCACGAACCCCTGAATGGAAATAAACCATTTTCCGATGGGTAAATTGACGAAAGTCAACGTGACATCCCATTTTAATTTTAGGTCACTACCCAATCTACCCGAGTGACAGGCGTGACAAGCACGGATCTTTTCATATGGAACTGGAAATTCAGTAACATGTGGAATCCTCGTTGTTCAATTTAAATTGAAACTTTTCTGTCGTAGAAGAGCATCATTGAGAAAAAGGATCGCCGAATGTCGGGGACTGGTTTGGTTACAAAATAGTTGAGTGGAACTGAATGAAATTCCCGTTCGCATCTTTCTTTCTTTCTATCTTTTGCTCAAAAAATAAGATAAAGACAACTCGACGGTGGTCTTCCTTCACGTCCAAATTTCCTTCATTAGCTGGAATTTGGTTGGGTGATGTCGTGGTTCGTCCGCCTGCATATTATTATTCCATCTCAGCGTGCCATGGATGTTATCGATCCAAGACTTAACAACCCGTAGTCGTGGTGGGCACAAAAGTCTTGGAAATTTATGCCTTTCTTCACACACCCGGCCATTTACTGACTCTGCATGTGCTATGACTGCTTCTGCATGTATGCAGTATGTACGAGTACGTGTGATCCGTTTCTTTGCACAAAATACCAGAGTTTTGGTTAAAATAGAGAAAGAAGGTGCAACTTTTTCGGCTGCACGTAGCCAGCAAACAAAACTGGAACTGCCGAAGAAAATAGGAAGGGGAGTTTGCTCATTCTTCTCTGATTTAGACACTTATTCAGCGAGTCAGATAGATCAGGTTGCCTGATAATCCAGGTAAATAAGTAGAGAGGAGGCTACTTCCTCTTCTACTCAACCGTTCTATAGTTTCCGTAACTGTCTGTGTTGGCGAAAGAGGAATGAAACGAGAGGAGGAACCGAGGAAGGGGGAGGCTGACCTTATATAATTCTCACAGGAGGAAATGATATGGAAAATAAAAGAGAAAATATACCAAGAAATAAACCTGATGTACAAGAACTGACAGTTCATGTTACACTTTACGAAGTCATGTTACATTTAACGAATAAGGAAAGTATTTATAAGCGCGAATGTGCATGAAGGCTAATGAAGATTGGAAATATCCCACAGTTCGTGTAACTTAACGTAACTCATGATTGACATTTGCAAGTGTTTTGAGTTTCTCCTTTATTGTCCGATTATGTAACCCGCAGAGAAAAATTATCGATCCACTGGATGGATTACTTCATTTATATTAATATTAAAGTTCTTTTTACGAGCGCATATTTTCTCCAAGATGGTCACTAAAAACTTCAGCATATAAGAGCTTTCTCTCACCGAAAAAAAACACAGGCGTGGGCTGAGGAAGGATAATATCTGACACATGGATGGACAGATTGCATTTACCAATTTTTCCATCCCGACGCCAAAAAAAGAAAGGTGGAAAAACTTGGCGTACAAAGCAGGATTACAAAATTGAACTGACATCTGGCCATTAACAATAAGTGTTGGTATAGTCGACCGTAATTTGACTTTATTATAGGGCTCTTCTATCCGTGTGCATCTTGACACTGACACAGTGTTTTCCACCCAAAAATGGGAATATGGGCAGGTGGATAAGAAATCCAATTAGGAAGAGGCATAGTGCATCACCTAAAAACCGGATTTCTCTTTATCTATTTAAACCTTGAAGCAAAACACATTCTTGGTCAAAGAGACACCACAATAAATAAATATCCGCTGCTTGCAAATTCAAGGATGAGCTCCGTATATGCACTTGTGGGGAAGGACATGAAGGATGCGTGGAGTGGACATACATATTTAGAAATATGACTTAGAAGTTTCAATAAAGCTGTTTGCTCTGAGATGTTGTATGAGACAGGAAAAAAGGCGAAGCATTTTTTTCATGTCCGATTTTTTTGGTCAATACTTCAACACTTTGTTGAGGATGGGTAATGAGATTCATAAAACAGAAACACCCCACGGATCTCACACTAGGATGCTAATTGTAAATGTGTTGTTCGAATCAGGAGGTTGACACACCCTCTTTCACACACTCGTCCTCTCTCGATCTCACTCCGGCTTGTATTCTCATTGTTGAGCTGTCGGTGAGTGAGTTGCACTTGAATCAATTCAAATTCCAGCAACAATGAATAACAAACAATTTAAACCCATTTGTGTGACTAATGATACCTCTCTGGAATTACAATGATTTCTCTCCAGGACATTGTCCTAATAATTTAAAATTGGACTCTGCATGTGTTTTACAAACAATAGCAGAAAACCACAGACCGTGCTCATCTCGTACTCAACTTCACAATGTATTATTACGTGATTATATTATCCATGCCGTACTCTATAGGTAACTTGCCAAGCTAAAATAAAATACCAATACCAATTATTCGACAAGAGAAATCCCACAATTTTACTATATCCCGACTATGTAATTGGACAAAGCCTTCTGCAGCAGCATGTTCAGTTTTGTATGTTTGCACTTTTGGTAAAGGTAATTTAGGAGGAAGTGATAATTGACATGGAACTTGGATTGGATAAGAGTTCATTACATTTCAGAGTACACGTGAAATATCGTCGTGTCGTGTTTATTAACTGCACTGTGTGTTTAACTCTTACTTCTGTTTCGTGTAAATCTACACAGACAATTGTAAATTGAAGGGTGGAAAATTGTCATGCAAAACGAAATACGTAATAAACACTCATGGTAATTGAAAGTGGTTTATTAATATGCAAAACTTTTGCTGATTTTTTAAATATCACGGACTATCTGATATTTTACTTATGTTGTTCTTTTTCTGTTTTTATGACACCAAAACCAACTCAATCTCATCTTCTCTCGAATCAGCAACCAAGCATACATAAATACTTGCAAATCACTTAAAAATTGACATGAATGTTAATTTGCTATTGAGCACTCCAACAGAGTCATGCACCATTAATTACATTCGCATGCATGGGTTTATTTGAACACAAATAATTCTACGTAACCCACTCAAATTAATGTTGCATTTGTAGATAGCACGAAACATGGCTCATTAGTTTAACAGCGTTCATGCAGGACTTCTTGATGCGATGTCTATAAATAAATACACAAAACAAACGCAAATACCTATTCAGCAGTTTGTAGTAATTACAGTGATTACTAAATAGGAACATATTGATTAGCTGGAACCTGTGTAATGCATACATGCATAGGCACTTTCGGCGATGATTGGACACATCTAATGTATAAGTAAATCAATAGTTGCTTATAAAAGCTGACATTACAATAACGAATGTAAACAAATCAGGTTTAGCCAAACCAAACGGAATATTATTATCATTTACAATTGTCTCCCTGGCTGGTCGTAGTTAACGAGGACTGACTTTAACCACGAAGATACCACATAACCAGTTTTGCATTTTTCTGCTAAATCCGACATTTTCAATTAAGTGTCTAAGCCTCCTTTCTCAAAGTAGGTTTGCGAGATTCAGGCAAGCAAGGAGCTTCATTGCCTATTAAGGAAAAGTTTCCTTAATCTATTTGGCTTTGTATGGGGCTTATCTTTTGAAGGAGCTTCTTTCTCGTCCTTCTTTTTAAAAAGGATTCACATTTTTACTTTTTTACCATTATGTGGAACAAGAAACAGAAGATATGATACCAGACCATATGATATGATACACACCATGTATATAAGAACCAGATTGACTAATACAACTCTAATAATTGCACCTATCGGTATCTTATGAAATGATTCGCAGATGTGAGTCGGAGTTGGTCTTCCTCTCAATCTAATTGCTTTTGATAATGACGACGATTATGACATGATGATGGACAAAATAAACTAATGTTTATGAAATGCAAATGAAGAGCAATTATAAGTGAACTAACATTATGCATGGTACGATTTAAGAAAAAAACATGAGACTCACTGGCAATCATTCATAAGTTCCTCTTGAGTCCTCATTTGTACGGGAGCCAGCTTCTCTGTCGTCTCATCCAGGTTGTTGAAGCATTTAGTAATCTTTTCGTCAAAGGTGTTGACGAGGTCTTCGAGGGAGCCGGAGAACGTGTCCGTAAAAACGCCGTCTCCCTCGACGACGACAACGTCATTGTTGTCCTCGTCCAAGGCCTGCTTCATGAGTAATTGTTCCAACCCCTTGGCCGCGCACTGCTGCAGCGTCTGCTGCTGCTGCTGGGCATGGGAGTTGGCGTTCCCGTCCCCCCCAAATCCCCCACTGCTGAACATGCCCCCGTTCCCGTTGGAATTTCCGTTAGAATTGCTACTTCCTGCAGCACTGTTCCCGTTCATGTTGAAATTGGATGACTTGAGATCGCAAAGGTTTTGCAGATCTGAACACAAATCTACAAAATCCTCTAATTGAGCCAGTGGGGCTTCAAATTTAAGTTCTTCCATTTTGGTTGGTAAATAGATTGAACTCCACATTAAATCCAATTTTGTGTATGCAAAGGTTGAAAGAAGATATACCTTTTATGTATTAGAACACAGTTAAGTTGGAGAATGGGTGGGTTTGTTTGATGAGTCAAATTATCATCATATTTATAGTCGTGTTGTAATGTGTTTGTAGCTGTATTGTAAAATTCCAAGTAAGTCTTCAGATTATTGAAGTGGGTTTTCCATACGATTATGCACGAAGAGGAAGCGGAACTGCAGAATTTGAGAGGCCGAGATTTACAATCAATTTACCACCACCTCTTCCAGTTCACGACTGGCTTGACTTAGCAGAAGAAGATTAAAGCAGACCAGAATAAGTATCTTTACAAGAATGTATATGGGAACCAGTATATGAACGTGAAAATTTCAACACAAGTCGGCTGAGTGGCTGCTAGTAGTGTAATGAAATCGTGAATAGTTTGGCTGCTAAAAAGCTGCTTTAAGGAGGACGACGACGTATCCTTTTATTTACACCAGACGAGATACTGAGCTCAACATGACTCGGTATTTGGTCTCTCTCTTCCCCTTCTTTTCATTTTGTATGTAATAACATCAGGGTTGTTGGGTTAAAAACATGACAAGGAAAGTAACCAGCAAAGTATGGAGAAGCTAAGAATGCTTGCTTTTTGGTGCTATATTATATTCCTCCAAATAAACAGGGAGTTGTGTTCTCTAGAAAAACCAAGTCATACCTCCGTTAACTCCCTAACTAGTAATTGTTGCAAACTAGAATTAAATTTCTCATGAATATGAATCCATTTATTTAGAAAAAAACATGTGGAAATCATTGCTTATCTTTTTCATGCTCAAATTTGCTCTGAAATACCAAGCATGACGGCCCTGGAAAGGAACCCGCCCGTCTACACAGCAACTTTCTCCCGAACCCGGAATCGGAGCTGAATGGTGCAAGCGAGAAGCAAATGCATAGGAAAGTACAAGAGTAGGCAAACGATGGATATTTTACCATGCGCCTAGAGCTCCGATGAGAATGCCATGATTTTGACAAGGGAACAAGAATCAAGGTTGTCGTACATGTACAAAACTTTGTCTCTGCTGCAATGCTTGAAAGTCAATCATTTCATCAAAAATGTAATTTCCGTTGATTAATCTAAAATGAATTTGGCTGTAAATTCGTACATGTAAAATAAACTCAACAGAGATCAAAGCTAGAATTTGGCATACATACGTATTTTAGAATAAATATGTGCTACTAGATGCCCGGTGGAGGAAAGATAAAAATTATTTTTATCAGCTCATCATGTATTATTTATTAGTCAGTCACTGTGTAGTTTCGCACCATCCTCTACCACAATTTTCTAGTGGTCTGGTGCATAATAAACTCATCGCCGTTGGTGGAACTCTAGAAATTTTATTTTTGTAGTCTTTTTACGACAGGCTTTCACCTTCACCCCAAGCATTTCGTGCAGCACCTTGGCTGTATCATACACGGAAGTCTGCAGGGAGTATTGCTGTTGCTACTTCCACCAGTCCCACCTCAACTACCGTGGAAAAGGGGGAGTTCAATTGCAAATTAAAAATTTATGCGACTGCACAACCAGTGCACCCATGATCCAAGATATGTTGTCTCACCTTCTCGGTTTCATACACTCACTCAGAAAATGAAAAAGTGCGATGACCTTATGCAAAGACGACCTGCAGCATATCTGGAAGACGCGATTTTCTGATTAAATGTGGAACCAGCTAATATTTTGCAGGCTATTAATTATGGCAAAAACGAAGTGAAAGCTAGTTATTATGTGAGTCTGCCTAGTCTCAAAGCGCCCCACGAGGAGAGTTATGTGGTGAAAGTGGAGAGTCACGAGTGCATTCCAGATGATGATGAGACCAATGTAGCTGTGAGTCATTCTCTAACTGCCGATATTTTTGTTTTGATTCATTCAGATTACATCACAGCCACGACTAACTCGATATTTTTCAGTCCAGGTTTTTGCAACACGAATAAAACTTCACAATTGTTGCCTTACAAATTCCAAACGTCATAATTTGGACCACTTGTGACCTGAACAATGTCATGCCATGGATGTGCATCTGCATTTGGGTTTCTGAAACGTGAAGTAAGTTAATTTTCAAATGAATTGAATTAATAACAATTGTACTTATCTCTGCTGAGTGGCTAAGTTTTGCCAATATTTATGCCTTTTGTACAATGGATTAGTAGCTGTTATTAGTTTGATACTAATTTTATTCTTCACTACAGTACGGCTGTCCTAAATGCGGATTTTCATATTGCAAAAAATGTCTCCGTTTTCAAAGCACGGATTCGAAGACCAATAAACAAATTTTAGTTTGTCAGCGTTGTTGTACCAGCAAGTCATCGAAAATGGACTCTGAAGAACCACCCATAATCACGAATGCGCTTTTGAGGTGAAATAATAATAAACTTATTTCTTTGTTTAAGTATAGGTCTAACTTATTTATTTTTAAATTGCAGATTAGAATCAATGGAAAATCCTGCACGTCCTCCAATAACTGTTTACAAGCAGCCTGCTCGAGAAGCCCGTATGGCTCAGCTGAAGAGGGGATTGTCCGAGGAGGATAAGCAACTTGCTGATCGATTAGAATCCTTGAGAAAAGATGAAAATGGTGATCGAACTATTCATAGACGCAGTTCGGAACAGATTCAGGAAGAAATTGAGACCAGATTGGCTCGTTTAAAGGGTATTTACAACAGATTGCAAAGATAAAACAATTAATACGTGCAATCACTTAAGTCGTAGTTTGTCGCATATCTACATTTAGTTATCACATTATTATTATGTAGATGAAGACCCATCTCTTCAGGCTTTAAGCAAAGGTTCTTCAAATTTTAATTGCAAGCCGGAAACTGATACGGATCTAATAGCAAAATATTCTGCCGAAGTGCAACTTGACCACCAGTATCAAGCTGGTTTGTCAGATGCAATGAGTGGAATTGAGGCAAGACTTGCAAGACTCCGAGGTGAAGATAAAAGTGGACCTGTTAAACAATCTTCAGAGTCAGGAAAGGCAGGATCATCACATGAAGAAATAGAAGAACTTACAGAAGAAGAACAAGTGGCACGAATAATAGAAAAGGTAATAAAGTTAAATGACGAGACGACAATGAATTTGTGGTATTTATATTATGTTATCAAATCCTCGATAAATTTCTGATGTAGTTTAAAGCTGAAGTTGAATTGGAAACACAAAATCAAGAAGCTGACATGGCAGGTCCATCCGATGAAACTGTGGCATCTACTGTTGCATGTTCTGAAGACGTTAGCATGTATTCCGACGATGACGAGGATCTGGATAACTTGTGCCGAATCTGTGATGAGAGGAGAGCAACTTTAAAATGCAAAGAATGTGATGGGGATCTGTTTTGCATAAAATGCTTCAAAGAACTACACACTGAGCTTGGAGAGATTCACAAGCCTACCATTCTAAAAAAATAAAAATAAATTCCAGTCTTATCACACACCAAAAAATTGTTTTACAACGTTGTCAAATAATGATTTTATTTTATGCTTGTACCAAACACATACACATAAAAACAGTTGAATAAATTTATTGTATTATGTATATAAGTAAGAAATATGATGATGGGAAACGGAATGTAATTGGGCGAAAAAGGGTCATTTTCAAAAGTTTCAAAACAACTTGATTACTACGACGGTCGTTGAATTGTAATGTGAAATCTACATGATGGCATTGTCGCAGTTTCTGCTATTACTACAGATGCAATTCCAAGATTTGCTAAGGCTCCTCGGATTATTCCACAAGTATATGCCAAAAACTGTAAAATGTACAAAAATGTTATGTAATATTCAAGATAAAATATTCCTCCTTTATGTGTGTACCTTTGGTCCGTTTTCCAAATACTGCTTCGTGGCGGATATTTTGGAGAGAAATTTAAACGAGTTATCTTGTAGGACATACGTTCCTTGATGATTTGTTCTTAGATTATCAATTTGCTTTTTATACAACGCCACCCAAAAGTCTTTGCATATGAATTTGACAGTGTCTAACTCATCTTTAAAGCGTGGCGAATCTTTTAGTAACCTGTAAATCAGATACAATGTGGGAGTAAGTATGATTGACAATATCATATTTATCATTCCTAATCCCCGAAATTGTATACCTCTCAATTAATCTGTAGCCCGTACTAAATCCAATAAATTCCAACTTTGAAAGTAGTTCATTCTGCAACAAATTAAATAAACAATTTTTAATGATATTCATTCACGATGAAATTTACAATGTCGAATGTCTAAATTAATTTAATTAATACCGGGTCATCCTCTTTGCCACCCAATATTCCACTGCAAACCATTTCGCCGTGGAGAAGTTCGATGGGAAGCTCCTCCGGATTTGATAGTTGCACTCCTCCAGACGCCATTACCACAAACTTACGACAGTTACGACGAATGTAACAAGCTCAATGTACAATATAATATTAATTGTATTGTTCTTTGTCAAAGAACTCGAAGTAAAACAAATCCGACTGAGCCGAAGTAAGCACTACGTTCAATTTAGCTTACAAGGCATTCGAAAACTCGTAAATCTGACCACCTAAGACCTAAACCCACAAGAATACTAGACTTGAGAAAAGCTTATCGGTACTAGCACTTCGTTTAATCCAATACACCTTCTTATTTATATTTTTGAAAACCTACACCCTTTCCCACTAGACATTCGTACTTTACGCAGTGTATACAGTTGAACTTGCTCTCCGTATGAATAGTGCAAAAAAGAATACTTCCTATGATTCAATGATTCGTGTATGAAAAATGCACAATTCATTGCATTCAATTTTATTTCTGAAAAAGTACAAGGAAAACTCAAAAAATCTTGAAAAAAATAAAACTAATAATAATGACATACATACACCAAAGTATATGATTCTCGGAATTACATAATGTTTACATGATCAGTTCGTGGTGTTAAATGTGTAATACAAACTAAATCAGCCTTTGATTCTTCTTTTATCTATTCTGAGATATTGACGGCCGCACTGACAGTGGGGCACTGTTTTTTGTGGCTAACGAGTTTCTCTCGTTCATCAAATGCGGTCAGGCAATTTAGGCATTCAAATTTTCCATCACCTTCTCCAACTGTAATAAAAAACAGTACAAAATTTCAAACTTTATTCCGAAAATCTTAAGACCTTCTCATACCTCTGTGTTGTCGCAAATGCTTCGCACAATGTGAATATGAAGGAAAAATGTCTAAGCATACGGGACACTCTTTACCATTAGTTTCATCTGCATTGGTGATCCCAACATTACTTCCGGTGGTACTTGACGAGCCTGTCCGACGTGAAGGTTGTTGTCCAGTTTTCCTTCTAACATCTCCGTCGTCCGAAAAATTATCGCCCCCCGAGTATTCTAAATCAAGCTCGTTCTCCTTTGTACTTCTTTTACGCTTCGGATTGTTTGGAGATGAGTATGAGGCTGGCTTGTTGACAGGCGAGGAGTTTGGTTTAGCTGAGGCATCGTTATTAACGTCTTCTTTCGAAAGTGTAGCAGTAAATTGGGCTAGGACAGCTTTTGCCTGGTCTGCAGTCTCTCTAATTGGTTCCAGTTTGGCTCCCCATCCTATAGAAATCAGTAATCAGTACGTTTATCAGAAAGTTGGAAGATACACTAACTAAGACATGAAAACTTTTCACATCGATAGAAGGTTAATTTTGAAAACCGCTGATTGTGTCCAATCGACACTGTCGATCAATGTAATTTTATACAACGCTCGGGAGAACTCGGGAGAAAACTTAAAATTAAGTTTTCTCCCGAGGGAAACCTTTCTTTATTATTTATAGTTTTATAGTATTTTATAGAGTATTATAGTTTGGTTATAGTTTTAACTATAACCAAACAAGTTCAAACAATTCATTTAGGTACTTACTGCTCATAATCTCTGCTTGGAACGGAAGTAATTTTAAACCTTTCTCCTGCCAGGATAGCATCCCTTTCACGTTTGTGCTCAAAATGCTCATCCTGAGTTCTTTTAATTTGGCGTCAAAGTAAGCGACCATATCGTTTATCTGGTAGAAATTATTAAGTTTCTCATGACATGGGATACAGAGGAAAAGCCGTCGGCTCAAATCTGGCTTAACATCGACTTCGATCCCTCTCCAATACAAATCTAATATCTGCACGAACGATTCGTCTTTTACGATCTTGTTACTCGCAGCTGAAGAACAAATCACGCAAAATCGTGCTTCGATTTGAGTATTATTATTGGTGGTACTTGTGGATTCAGCCATTCTTTCTTGGTTGGTCTGCTGGTGGTTGGTGTAAAGGAGGATAAAACGTATTTAATTATAATTTAAATTTTTGACAACAGCCAACAAGACAGAGACAGTGGCAAGCGTGAAGTGAAAGTCCGATGTGAGATTGAATCGAGTCACTTGCTTGGAGCATGTTACCTCCACGTGTTGATATTTACCGGCATCAATCGAGCACAATGCGAAGCTTTCTACTTTCTACCATATATGAGAAATATGATATATGAGAAATTAGTTTGAAATGGAATGCCACTTTATTGCAGAAATTACTGATATCTGCTTGATTCCAAATAATACACATTCATGCTTAAACTATTACGTAACTAAAATTAACCGGTATTTGGATGTGGATGATAATGCTAAAGAATAATAAATGTCGCGATAGCTTTGGGATATATGATTACAGCACAAGCACAAATTAAAATTAAGTGATTAAAAACTTCACTGCATACACGAGGAGACTGGGATTTGATGATTGTGAAATACAAAAAAAAATACAGGAAAATAATTATCAGTAATACTTGTAATTAGGTATATGTGGAATACTTTTACATTAAACAAAATGTCAGAAAGTAAGGTCAGCCTATTTTAACATAATTGGGGTTTTGTTTCATTGTTTGTGAGGAAATTAAATCCAGAAAGTAATTATCAAAATTAGTATTACAAGAATCATATCATTCTTAACAATATGCTAGTTTAATAAATAATAATTGTGTAATTATTAATATAAAATTGCATATAACGTCACATATGCAAATTAACCGGCACGAACACCCAATTTTTCGAGTACTTTCACTCCTTTCTCCAAATATTCTTCACGGGACATCCAGAAATCGTCTTTGTCTTTCATTACATTGGCAAGTACAGCCCCTCCAATGAAGACCATGTCCTTCCTTCTGGGAGGGTCTTCAATCTTGATTTTAAATTTCTGGAAAAAAAAATTATATCTTGCTTTCTTTACAAGTTCACTACAAGCTGATAGTAAAATTAATACCCCCAGAGGTAAGCTGCTTAAATATGCAATACGAAAACTGATTATACCGTACCGAAAGTTTGTCAGTTTCTCCTTTCAGTACACGCTCCAAATAAAGTTGCTTAATCTCTCGTTCAAGGCGACTAGAAAGAGGTATACATGATTTTTTTCAGAATAGTTTAGTTAATAGTCAATTAATTAGTAATCTTTGAAAATTTATTTTGTACATGTAATACAAAATCATACCTAGGAAGACCTGGATACATTGTTGAACCCCCAGACAAGACAATATGCTTGTACAACTCTGGGCGGATGTCAATATCCGCTTGTTGAATAGTACTAAACACTAGTTCCGCAATTCCTTAATATAAGTAGTAATATAATAATAAATTTTTCATATTTGTAATATGGCAAGGTCAATTACAAACCTTGTCCTTCCACATTTATTAAATGCGGTTGAAATAGTGCTTCCGGTGCCTCGAAACGTTCCCCACCAACTTTAATGATTCTGCCATCAGGTAACTGAAAAAATGATATTATTTTGCGTTTTATAATTTGGGCTTATCAATTCAAAGGTGCAATTTTTTAAAGTTTACTAACGGTGTATGTCTCCACCAGAACTGTGGTCTCGAGAGCTAACTTCTGCTCAGTCTCCAAGTTGTATCCTATGTAGCACAATTTTTCTTTCATCATGCGAACAGTTTCAAAGTCTGCGGAATGGTTAAATGCATATCCTCGCAGCAACAATAACTATTAAAATTAAATGATAATCAACTAAATTGATTTCACCCAGATATTTCTTATATTTAATAGTATTTTGTGCATACTTTAATGAGATATCGTGTAATATCTCGTCCAGCGATATCTAGTCGACGAGTTAAATGGGACAATGCAAATCCATCATATACAGGGCAAATGTGGGTCACTCCATCGCCTGAATCAACGACTACTCCAGTCAAGAGTCCTTGAGCTGAAAAGAACCACATACTTATTCTATAAACCATCAGAACCATATACAATTATAGGCAATTCCTAACCATAAAGTGTTAAAACAGCCTGAATGGCAATGTAAGCTCCTGCAAATTGGTAGCGTTCAAACATCACCTAGAAAAATTTATAAATACAATCAAGCATTAGCCGTTCTGCTGCTTGGTGAGACATTTCCAAAAGAATACCTCAATCATTTTTTCCCTGTTCTTTGTTGGGTTCATTGGAGGCTCCGTTAACATAATTTTGCATTCCGTAGGATCAATATTCATCTTTTCTGGTCCAAAAGTATAATCCCACAGATGAAGCATGTCCTCCCAATTTCTAGACAATTACAAGTGGATAAATTACTTGTAATTTCATTAATTGTATGCAATGCAAATATGGATTTTTCTTACCTCACAATACCATTCTCCATGGGATAGTTCACTTCAAGCATTGACCGTAATTTGCTGGCATCGTCGCCAATCATTAAGTCCTAAAAAGGACAACTTGAATTATGATAATTTATCTTCCGTAATATGTGTGCATACAAATAAAACGAAAGAAATTCCACAAAACTTTAAATTTACAAACTAAAAAAGAGTGATATTGGAGCTATTTTCATGCATGTATCGGCATGTTAATCAAACACAGGATTTCAAGTTTTCAAGACATAAATTAAATTAAATAAGGCCATGCATGAAACAACGACATGAACAACCAGTGTTTCCACGTTATTAGGGCGAAGAAAAAGATAACACAAATAAATATCATTCACATGCTGAAGGCACTGACATACTCTGTCGCAAAACTTACTGCGATATCATGGTCCTCTTGCTATTGGCAGTAATAAATTGACACAACAAACAGACATTAGCACACAAATTGATTAAGATAATCAGATTTTTTACAGACGTGTTATAAATATATATACATACAAATTGTTAGTGTCAAAAGATGTATTCACACATTAGCAAACAGCCGTTATTTTTTTAATTGAAATTATCAATGGAATGGAGTTCAATTTTTTCCCGAATAATTTCAATACCATTTCCACTCTACATGGGTTTTATAGGCTAAAAATAGAAATTAGTGTGAAAACCGAAATGCAAAAACTGTGAACTGTATAATAAAAATACATCATCATACTTTGACATTTTCAAGCCCATATTCCTGGAAAATTAAATGAATATTAAAAAACGTGCTCATACAAATTTTGACATTTGGAAGTCACATAAGTTTGGAGGGTAATTAATCTCCCCAAACAATAAACCCCTCAATCAATAATCTGGATGTATTGAAGCATAAGGCATATTCATAGACAAGAGGACGATTGATAACTTGCCATGATACCTTAATTTCCACGTCTCCAATTTTGTTGGCAGCACGAATTATCGGACGACCAACCATGGATGGAAAAATATGCTCAGGAAAATGTGACCCTCCATAACCGCACTTAACAAACTGAAATTTACCAATCATTATTGTGGATTTTATACAATTATTTATAAAAATTAAGCATTTTGCAATCTGCTAACCCCAGTTCCATTGTCGCAAACGATAACTTTACGCCCTTTGCTGTCCATGTTGATTATTAATGATTATTTAGTCTCGTTGTAAATGTTTCCTCAATTTCCTATGACCAAAGAATAATTAAATTTACAGCTGAAAATAAATAAAAAACATTGAATATGAAATACTCCCTTACTTATACTTACACTGCACTTTTTAGTTTTATAACAACTCTACGATTAAAGTACTGAAGTAGAGAAATGGCGCAAAGACACAGGAACTTTCCGTATTTAATTTTTTATCGTTAGAGTGGTTAATTAATTAACTGAATTGCTGTCCAGGCATAGCCATTTATAAATTAACTTTGAGGCAGGGCTGTTTCTTACTCATCATCACTTGTGCAAACAGAGTTTGACACTTGCAGGAGAAAAGCCGCTGGTCCACCACCATTCGGACCACCACTATGATGCACCAACAAATATAATGAAGTAGCCGATTCTCGAGTAAAATTATCGATATCTCTCTCTGGAAATTCCAGCCACTGGAATATACAAGCGGTTAATGGTTTTCAATAAATATACATTTAAATTTAACTTTTCGTTAAATAAGCAGTGGGAATTCAACTGGTTCAAAGTTAAAAAAATCTCATTCAGTTCCGACCGACGTTCAATGTGACAAACTCTAAAGGAAAAGGAATTAAAAAATATGCAATCTTACTAAGCATGAATGTATTTTGCATACATAATTGCATGCAACATTCCGAATTTACTTCTTTATCCAATCAACGAAAAAATGAGGCCTTGCCATAGATAGTGTATTAATAATAATGATGCGGGCCTTGCACAGCAGATTTGAATACACTTTTTTGCACGCGTTTGAGAATTATCATGCTGACCGATGGACAAATTGATCGCAATAAGTAGCTTTGGTTCTTTCCACTACTTAAAACTGGCTGTTGTTCCAATGTAAAACGAGTCGTTATATTTTGAACAAAAAGCAATATATTTTGGCATTATGCATAGTGTAGTAGTAGGTAGTATAATTTAATTCCGTAGTAAACATATGATCACGAAAAAGTAGAAATGAAATGAAGTTTAAGTCAGTTTATTTGAAATATTGTATTGTACGACTGTACGAGTACTATTTTATTATATTTACGCAATGAAAATACAAAGAAAGTGTGCTTACATATATAAGGTTATAAGATATTTAGAATTAATTCCGGATTAATTAAAGAGTTGGCCAACATTCAGAAATTGTAAAAATCGTGTATACACTGTTTAATTTTCTAATACGCTAACATAGTCAGTTAATTTTGCAATTTGATCATCGGCAGACATGGAGTAAACATTTTGGGCTACCGATTCTGCCGGATGGAGCAGTCCATTTTGTATCGTCCAACCTAAAGGCGAGATTAGTGAGCAAACTTCCGGTTCGCTTAAACCCAATAATTCTGCTGCATCTTGTGTATTTACACAAGTATATACAGTTCCCAATAATCGGAGAGTGGTTTCGCGTACAGTTTCGATGAGTTTGGCTACAATAGGGGCAATTGTTGTTGACCATTGGAAGGCTTTGACGGTATTATGGAAACTGCGAGTGTCCTTGAGCCATAGTGTTTGTCCTACCGCCCATAATGCTGCAAGTTCTTCAGATCCGGCCTTCATGGCCTGAGGGATGCGCTTCCACAAGAATTTAGAGCTACATATTTGTCCCGTGGCCAAATAGAGGGCGAGAAGTTGAGTGTACCCTTCGCCACCGATCCCTTCCGGTCCTCCTTCTAATTCGCTCATCTCCAACACGTCGATCCGTTCATCCATTGTATAACGCCGTCAAGAGAAATCTGCATATATTTAGAAGATAAAGCTATAATGACTTCATGCAGAAAAATTATTTTTGACTCCACGATATTATTGCTAAATCTAAAATATAACTGAGTTATCGTCTATGACCAAGTAGGGAAGAATCTATTACACATATGTGAATTTAAAAAAATTGTAAATGTGTTGTAGTTTGCAGTCGGACAAATATTGAATTAAACACCAAATAAAATAATATTTAGAATATGTCATTACCTCCACAATCTACAAGTCAAGTTTCCTCAAAGTCCAACGGGGATGAACACAAATTACTAAAATCCTGAAACGACGATAAGGAGTGCAATTAGTTAAGTTTTTACAAGACTTTAAATTATAATGAACAATGAGTAGTGTTGGTTGTGCGAGTTTCTCCGATGGGTGCTCTCGCGGTTAGGTTGGGAAATGTGAGAAACTTCCTCGGGGAAATTTCACTACCCACTTTTGCCACTGGGGAAGATGAGATGTTGCATATTTTCGCTACTTCTTGCATTTATTTAGCTGAAATTTCATAAGGTCCACACAATACGATAGTTGCACGTAAAAAAACGTGCACGCCTTGCGTTGCACGTAAAAAATTACCTGATAAGATTTCGGGAGTATGAAATAGGTTGACAAAGTTATCGGCTGTAGAGAATTAGTTCTAATCTCATCTTGAGACATCTCGTCGACTATCCAAAGGGTTTAAGGTGATACCAGATCTTTTTCTTCTGATCCAGAAAAAAGATGTCTTCTCGTCTTTTCAAAATCAACCCTTCACATAATAATGGATTTTATCGGATTTACTAATTTTGCTTGCGTATCAACATTCGTTTTTTTTTGGTTCTACTCGATAGGATACGTATAAATAATTTTATTTAGAGAAATATATGCGTCGTAAAAACCATTCATGATGATAAAGCTACAGCAAGATAAAAGTATGATACTAATAACAAGTCGCACCACGCATAAATTAAGTATTTGATGTTGCGTCTTAACAAGTCTTAGAAAAGTGTCACGAGTATTTCGCATTTGTCAATATCTCTCTCAAGTCAAACATTGCATTGTGAAGTCGATTCTTCGCACTCCTCCCTCGTCGAGAATAGTTTGGTCGATGGCGAGACGATTACTTTTTGGCACCGACGACCGATGCGATATATCATCAACTACCTCTCAGAGGAATTGTGACTCTTTCTCTGGCACCATTATCCTCTCAGCCAAAGTAATAATCCTTTGCTGCTTTCCTAGTCCTGCCCAACAGTACACAAATTTTTGTCGCATGAATATGCATGCTAGGAAAAATCGACCAATATTCCATCTTTATTTCGACAAAAAGGTGTACTACATATTGCTACTGGATGGAACGACATGTGAGACACCGGAGTTCCTCAGCCCCAGTGCTTGCTTACGACTTATACTCTTACTTAATACCAGCAGCAGCACCTGTTAAAATATACAAAGAGTTCATATTAACCCTCATAAATGTATATTATTCAGAGTCGTCTCATGATTATCCAACGTGTATGGCACTACGTTACGTATTATTTTCATGCAGCAGCGTAGTAAAATGAAGGTAACGTGCCGAACCCCTCCGTCTCACCCTAAAAATATAAAAAGTTTTACCTGCAACAACAGCAACTAAATGGCTCTCACTCAACAATACGATAGATATTCTGTCTCCTCGTAGTAAGTAAGTAAGCAATGCAACAACCCTTCTCCTCCCATTCTTCTTAAGCCCTCTCTTTGAGGTGAAGTGAAGGGTTGAGTCATATAGACGATGTACAAACACGGTATCATCAAACCGTTCAAAAATTGTGTGGTCTGCGAATCCAACTTATTATGCATCTTTACGATCAATATATACAACGACTTACTTATTTGACTTGTTTGTCGTACGAATAGTAAGAATTTTTCACGACCGAATTTTCCAAGTATTTATGCAGCATATTTCTATTGAAGGAATCTGATATTCCCAAAATGGTTAACTGCCCCCTCCTCAAAGGTATATTCCTGTACAATAATACATGCATAGAAACAACGTAGAAAGAAAGTCAGGTATTGCGTATCATTGTGAGATAGTCATCCATACTCACAAAAATCGTTGTATTGGAGCTGGAAAGGATTTTATTAGTATTTTAGATGTTCTGTAATCTGTGTAACCAAGAGGTTGCGTTTGTATGTACATACTTAGGAGAATTGTGTGGATATTATTATGCATGTTTTGACTTTACTGCAGAAAGCATTATACCTTTTTTCTACCCGCATATATGTACAAATGTATTGCTTTTCAATGCCAATGGGTGCATGCACTCGACGAGTACATACATATCTTACCTGCTTTCTACGTACGTATGTATACACAGGCATACACTCTGGAAGATTTTTTGTGATGAAAAACTTGTCGAAATTTCAAGTCTATGCTAGAGGTGGATGCTATGCTATATTCTACCTGCCTCCTAATACCACGTACCTGATCCATTCGTATTAAGCCCTGTTTTCACTCACTGATTGACTCCATCCATGGCTAACCTACCTGTCCCGACTTTTATAAGCTAATCCTCCTCCTCTTCTTATTTCTGTACCTTAGAAGCTGGTTAGAGCTGTGTATTATGATGTAGAGCTAGAGAGAAGGTATATGCAACCCATCAAGTCTCATGGTATGTTCATATCTACATCTTTTTCCATTTATTTCGTGAATACGCCATGGATCTTATAGGCTGACAGAGTTGTTGCTGGTTAGTGCACTTGGTTTTCCATTTCGTTGAGATATATATTATTGCTTGCACTGCACTTACTTAGAGCCGAGAAGCCTCGTAGGATTATTAGACAGCATCAGTAAAATAAGAGCTAGATACTCTTATTTAGTTTTGACCAGCCAAACAGGTTAAAAAGCCTGTGCCTGGGCTAGTGGAATTTGAGAGATCCATGAACAAGGATTTTTTCCCACTGGTAAAAGAAGTTAAGTTTTTTAGTATTGTGTTATTGAGAATCGTAGTTTGTGTAGTTGTAGTTTCGAACCAGCATGAAACCAAATGGCTGACTGGCAATATATCGCATCGTTCGTGTGGCTTGGTCTGGTTGTATTTTAGTATTAAAAGCTGTTTGATCTGCTCTTCTATCTCCATACGTATCGTCTCCCTCGAAAACATGGTGTAATATTTGGGTAATGTATTCTGACAGAAATGCAAGGTGCAGTGTGTGTTAATATTTATGAAGTCCTCTAGCATTATCATTACCACTATCGGCTATTATATTTATATGTACAACAACATGGTCGCATCATCATCATCACCACTTGATTAACTGGGTCTGGTTTGGTTTGTGTTCTGGTGGAAATGTTGCACTAAAAAAATAAAATACACTGGATCCATCAATTTCGGTTCTAGCAAACTGTACCAAAGTCAATGTCAAGTGAGAAAAGAGAACGAGTGAGCGAGGGCAGAGATGTGAATGAGTTGGGTTCAGTTTTCTAAAAGGTTTGCTGCGATATGGACTCACAAAACTGAAACGCAAACCTTTCTACGTTTTGTATGGAATGGTGATCGTGAATCTGCTTCTTGTCGGTTAAACTTATTTCCAATATTGAACATTTATTGTTACATATTATCGTATTCTCTCCGGATAATCGTCAATCTGCAGATACACAAAGTCTGACTGTGAACCGTTTAAAAAAATCAAATCAAAAGTATCAAAGAAATCCTCACAAATTTTCATGTGTACACCAACACGGATTATTCTTCTTAATAATAATACAAATAATAATCACTACATTACAAGTATGTTTTTGTTCTACTCTTCTTAATCACCAATTATAAGTAACTGCTATTACAAAAATCAGACAAAAATATTGTGAAAACTGAGACGGTCATGTTATGAAGAATCGAAATGGGAAACCACTATTTGCATATCTGAGCCAACATGCCAAAATTAAGTAAATAAAAAGTGCATACTAGTTTGTCGCAAAAAGACCTAAATAATAAAAAGTGTGCGTGGTGAATGAATTGGCCAAGACGAAGAAAACCAACATCCGATGAAGTAATATAATAACAAATCGAATGAATAAAACAGGTCTCGTCGTCCGTTTGAATAAGATATTTTGTTGAATATTAAGATTCCATTTCACATCCTCACTTATTACCTGTCAGCCATCAGCAAAAGTAAATGTTGTGCCTGTTCAAGAAAGGGAATAATACGAAAGGAGGTGCAAGTGAGAGGAGTTATGCAACTCGAGATTGCAAATTGCTATACTTACTCGACCACCACACGGCGCATACAATCGACGCTGAAAAGTACATCATCTACAAATTACTCGCATCAAAGATAAGTACGCTACTCGTTTCTGTTGGTGTTGAACTGCTGTTGCTGGATGGACTCGAGTAATCCGTACATAATTTTATTACCCATTGTTAATTGTTCTACATCGAAGTTGACATTGTCTTTGTCGCGTGGTAAAATTTATTGGATTTGCTAAATTGAATTAGCCAAGCTTTGTGTTTGTGTATGTGGGAATTAGTGCACGACCAGTCAAATCACATTTCGTCCAATCTTATGTATGTACATATTATTTATTCATTTCAACAAAGGCCTTGAGACTTGTGGAGGTTTCATGAGAAGTGCAATGCTCGCGGAGATGCTGTGAGACGTCATCTTCATCATTGGAACAAACCAAACGATCAGTATTGATGTTCAGTTGTGTTCATACAACGTAAATATTGGAGTATTACATAAGATAAGGAATGTTTTCACAACAGTGCAGTGGTGCCAATGAAACATTATTACGGCTCGGTTGGCACAAATGGCAAATAATAAATACCAATAAATCTCAGCCATCGCTAGCTGGAGGATGTGAAAACTGAAACTTTGGCGAGTTTTTAATGTATTGAGTGATGACTTCTTGTGCTAATCGTGTAATTTTTCTTACATCTATAAATTCAACTTTATTAGTATGACAAAGAGGATATATGATTCATCATTCAGCGTGCCAGAAATGGAATTAATGTTTTTAAACAATTCCTGAAAATTATAATAAACTGACGTCCATGGACTAACTAGCTAAACCGTGAAATAGTAATACAAGTCCAACCATCATTCGTCCGCCTAGTGCCTCTCCATGAAATTTAATGCCTCTGGAAATTTATTTCGTATTTATCAACTAAAGTCTCAAATTTCCTATGAAACTACGTTGGACAGTATTAGTCAGCCAAGGAGTTTAATACAAATACAAATACGCACTTGTACATATGTATGTACAGAATGAACATCAAGTGACGCTGCATGTGCTGTGTAAAATTATATGAAAATGACTATGCAATGAGCAATCCGACTTATTTTCTTAAAATCCAAAAATAATCTTGTGCCTCAGACTTGGATTGCGACAGACAGTATTCATTCATCCATCCATTAGCAATATTCGTATGTAATATGCAAAATATATAGGTAGCAATATTTTGAGCCAGTGGTTTGTGCAAAATATATGAGCAAAATGTTTGGGAAGAAGAAGAAGAAAGTTTTGATCAGTCAGCCGACGAATTTTGAACACCGGGTGCACACGGGATATGACAAGAAGGAGGGGAGGTTCATCGGGCTGCCTCCACAGTGGGCGTCAGTCGTCGGGAGCAATATTGTTCTCAAGAGCACGAATCGTCCACTTCCGCTGGTTGACGTTTCTGAGATTACGCCAACAGAGATTCTTGATTTGAAGGTACGGGTGAGGAACCATAAATCAAATCAATCCTTATTGTCCTACGTTCTATTCCATGCAAGGCATGACTTTTGGTGGACCTTTTCCCATTTTTCTTTCACTTAAAAACAACCCATTTAAAATCAATGGGTAAAAATTCCTGAGCCGAAATGCCGACTTCTTATCCCGTTTAGTAGATCTTTTGTTCGTGAGGCAATAGCCAACTTACAGAATTTACGTAACAGTTCTTTTGTGAATTATTTATAATCCAGACGGTGGTTCGAGGCGATGGATGTCGACGAGAGGACTTGAGTCATCTCCCCAAAATATCCAGCGTAGTTCGGTCCAACTCTCTCCGATCGTCCAGCCCCCCAAGATTACGACGAGATTTTAGAATGCAAATCCCAACTTCGGTCCCAGAGGAGGATGCAGTTAGTCATCAGCTACGATCCTCATCTCGATTTTCTGCACATCAGCCTTCTCCGCAGTTTGGTGGACAAATCCTTCCACCCATGGCCATGGGGCATGAGATGCCATTCCAGTCGAATGGAATTGAGGTATTAAATTTATTACCGTAAAGGTGCAAATTAGAAAGGTGTGGATGACCGATTTTCCACTAATATATTTAACTCTCTCATTCACACATTTTTAGAGAGGAGGATACCCGAACCATTCCTCGATGCTTCCACTGCCTCAGAGAGTAGCATCTCCGCATGGTCACATGCGAAATAGTCCAACTGGAATGTTTGGCAGTCCAAATCGTGGGGTCAACGGACATAATATGCAGGTTTGTCCGCTAAACACAGTCATTATTTTATGACCTTGTTAATACTCTTACTATAGTGTGACGAATGATTATTTATATGCATTTTGTGGTGGTGAATTAGGAGCCATCCCCGATTCATCCTGTTGGAGGTCACAGTGCAGTGAGCATCCCTTCGTTCCCCTCATCGTCGTCCAATAATGGTCCCACCAACGGAATGGGGTTTGCCAATAATCACAACCGTTTCCCATCATCCGTAGCACCCCCAGGAACATCGCACCAGCCACAACAATCACAACCTCCACAAGCACCACCAAAACCATCTCAGCATCATCAACAGCCATCTCACATGTGGAACGGTGGACCACCTCCTCCGGTCAACGGAAATGGAGGACCACGTTTGGTGCACGAGAAGGCTAATGGATCCGTCCCCACGAATGGAGCTGGGATGATGAGCTCCAGCACAAGTTTCCCTACAGCCCTACATCATCATCAAGTGCAACATCAACCACCACCTATTCCATCCCCAATGCCAATGTCAATGTCCATGAACTTTAGTCGTCCTCACTACCCACAACCCAGCCCCACAACGGCACACATGTCCATTTCCTCCGCAGGGAGTGGGACAAGTACGACAGGCGTTAGCACAGGTCAGCCATCCCCAGCAACTAATGTTCCAATAATGCACACCCAACAACAACACCCACCTGCGCCCTTGCCAAAGTCGTATCATTTAGGGAACAATCCCCTAGCTCCGCCTTTAGTCAAACCGTCGCCTCCCTTCCCACCTTCGTCGTCGTCCTCTACGGATCACAATCAAAACCAGAAGACACAAGCACCACTTCCAGTTCAACTACCTCCGAAGCCATCTCCTCAAGCTAATCATAATAATCCACAGCCGGCTGAAATTAGATTAACACACGAACAGGTAACTTAACAAGCTCTAAATGTGAAATGAATTATTTATTCTTCCATTTAAGGCCTCAATTTGATATATTTCTATCTGTCCAGTTTCGTGCGGCCCTTCAAATGGTGGTCAGTCCTGGTGACCCGAGAGATAATTTGGAGAACTTTATAAAGATTGGAGAAGGTTCGACTGGAATTGTTTGCATTGCGACGGATAAGACCACAAGGCGTCAAGTAGCCGTAAAGAAGATGGACTTGAGAAAGCAGCAAAGACGAGAATTGTTGTTCAATGAGGTAAGTAAATCAGAGCCATCAAAGTACAGTGGAGATTTTCAGTATTTTTAAACATTTGCTTAGAAAGTAAATATACAAATAAAATATACGTGAATGCTTTGTTAGGTGGTAATTATGCGAGACTATCACCATCCGAACATTGTTGAAATGTACGATAGTTTCTTGGTGGAGGACGAGCTTTGGGTGGTGATGGAATACCTTGAAGGAGGTGCCCTCACAGGTATGCACATTAAATATTAAGCTCATTAATCAGTTTGTTAATTAATAATTAATTTCCTTCCAGACATTGTCACACACGCCAGAATGGACGAAGAACAAATTGCTACTGTGTGCAAACAATGTCTCAAAGCCCTGGCGTACCTACATTCGCAAGGTACACAAATGCATTCCATGTATAATTATTTAGTCCAATTCCAAATACACGACGTAGATAATTTTAATAATTGAATCTAAACTACCGTCAACGTGTATACTTCTTTGCACAACAGGTGTCATACATCGAGATATCAAAAGTGATTCCATACTGCTTGCTGCTGATGGACGGGTATTTTTTACATGAATAGTACTCACTCATACCACTGAATATGACTGGAGCTCATCATTGTTTTCTGAAAATTTTTGTTACAGGTGAAGCTTTCTGATTTCGGGTTTTGTGCACAAGGTTTGTTTTTATAACGTTTCATTACATTCATTACATGTAACTGACCATGTTGTTTTTTTAATTAAAGTGTCTCAAGAATTGCCAAAAAGGAAGTCACTGGTTGGAACCCGTGAGTATATTCTTTAACTACATGTTAAATTTTACTTTTTTGCGGTACTCATCTTATTGCATGCACACTTTCCTCTGCAGCCTACTGGATGAGTCCGGAAATAATTTCTCGTCTGCCATATGGAACGGAAGTTGATTGGTAATACTTTCACACGTTTGAATACTTTTATTTGTCTCTGTTTGGTTTTATACTGCATTATTTACAAGGACCGACGTATGTAATAATTCATTTTGTTTTGATTCAAGCTGGTCAATGGGCATCATGGTTATTGAGATGGTGGACGGTGAGCCACCATTTTTCAATGAACCTCCCCTCCAGGCCATGAGGAGAATAAGGTGCGCAAAATATCAAAAAATTTTCCTAAAGCATGGCAAGAATTGTTAATTAATCAATGAATTAATTAATTAATAGGGACATGCCACCTCCGAGAATAAAGAATCAAATCAAAGTAAGTCGCAAAAGTCGAATGCATGCAAGTTTATACCTGCATACACGTAACTATTAATGGGTAGTTTTGCAGAGCTGTGGTGAGTTCAATTTTATGTTGTGGAAAAGAATCGAAATTGTGGTCATTCAATAGTAGTGTGTACAATTAAGCCGTGAAATGTACCGTGACCCATAAAAAACGTACGTTGGCATGTGTGTTGGGTTCCAATTGTATTGTTCAAACGAAACTTCATTATTTTGTGCGACATTTTTATGTTTTGCCAATCAAAGCGTAATTTCATTGTTGTTTGGGTTGGGATACTACATATTTACGTTAATTGTTTTTTTCTCTTTTGTTAAGGTTTCGACAAGATTAATTGGATTCTTGGAGAGGTAATTAGTCTCAAACAGATTTAGTTTTACACAGGTAATAATTTAATACATTTATTTATTTAATTCAGAATGTTGGTTCGAGACTCCTCCCAACGCGCCACTGCACAAGAACTTCTAAACCACCCTTTTCTTCGCGAGGCCGGAAATCCGTCCGTGTTGGTCCCTCTTATGCAGAATCTCAACAGGGCAATGGGGGGAATGCAAAATCAGTAATTTTTCAGCAAACTTGTTGCGTGTGACGTTATGTTATGTTATATTTACGTACATGAGGCTAGGACTTGTGTTCCAACGCATTCAACGATTCTATTGCAAGGGTTCAGAGGTACAAAATCGTGTAATTTCAGAAACTTAACAATTTTTCTCGTCTTTTCTATTAGTTACATCGTAGTATTGAGTAATTGTGAGTATGGGATTTGACAACATACAAAATATACAAGGTGGCAAAACCTCTGTTTCATTTGGCGTCCCACGTTGTTGTCGGGGTCGTGATTAAAGGGAGTTTAATTAAAATAAGCCAAAGAAATGCAAACTATTTTAAATTAAGGGACTTATATTTTCCATGTTCAGAGGCTTTGCAAATTCAGATACAAACTTGATTAGCTTAAAGTCCCTTTGATGTAGGCATTTTATCCATACGTCCGTGTGTCAGATTAAAAAATAATGGCTGAGCAGACTCCCACCACATTCCGTCCAAAAGGGAGAAGGAAATCCTTTAAAACTGATGAACTCACAATGCCTTTCATATCTACATAAATAGGTACATATAAGTATATTTGAACATTCCATAACAATCCATGCATTTCGCCCAGGTGCCTATCGCAAACGTACAGTATCACAAAATTGACAATGATATTTCCGTAAAGTATTTCCGTAAGCAACGGATGAGGAGGAGACCCAAATCCATGATTTAGGTGAACTTGCATGTTGCATCTTCCACAAATAGTGAGATTTATGAGAGCCTATGCATATAGAAGCATATTTATGATGTAAATGGAGCAGAAACCGTAAAAAGATTATAAACCGGGCACCACACAAAATAGGCTCTCTACACGTTGAATATTATTTCTCGTAACGAAGAAGATTAGGAGTTTGCCATAATATTAAATCACGGACCAAGATGAGGTAAATACACGACTACTCACAAAATGTAGTGGCTGCATAATCTCTCTACCTCACGATGACCGAGATTGTTTCCTCTTTTGGCATTTATTATATATTTACGGGTTTATGCAAGAAAAGTTATTCATCAATTTCAATGTACATTATAAATTGCACGTAACAAGCGCACATTATGCCTTGCTTGTTTGTAGTAGTCAGGTTTACCTACTTTTAATATTATCACTCGAGTCCTTATGAAATGCAATGTAAAGTAATTTCCGTGACTTGAATGTTATACACACAAATCCAGAATGATTGGAAGATGAACAATAACAAGAAATGATGCAAATGTCCAAAAGACACAGATTCTATTTTAATCGGAATATTTTAGAGTTCACTTATTTGCTTGGTAATGTTGAGCGAATGTGTTTGTATTTTTTATGTAAGCGACGACAAAAGTATATGTTAAGACATTGACGATAAAAATGGAAATAAAATAAAATGTCAGAATTGCTAACAATTGTTTTTTTTACTGAAATAAGAGGTACACATAGATTGTTGGACTAAATGTTTTTGTGTAAATAATATTGTACATACATATTTGTCAACAATAATAATCGTGTAATGTATTATTGAATATAACGCGATATTTATTTTTTAAACAATGTATTTAATATCTCGTAAAGCTTGATAATCTTTGGCATCCTGCATGATCGAAACATGACTGATTTTTTCAACAATTAAACTCTAAATCTTAATTAACTGTAGTTAATCTTACTTAAAATATGGATATAAATGACCAGCAATAATACTGTTTTAGTAGAAGAATGCTAATCTACGATATATGTAAATCTATGTATGTAGTAGTACAACAAGAGTAAATCTCTTCTCTCCTTAATCATCATACATATAGTTTTGGCAATATTTTTAGATTTTGCATAAATATCGGAATATATAGTTTTCATTCATTAGGCAAATCTGGGATGGATCGGAATTTATGTTAACGGCAGACAATTGCTGTCGGACACTGCCCGCTACTCTACGCTACATGAAATATTTAAGTAGTATTTGAAAACAGCAGTTATGAATGACTCATTATTGACAATGACAGAAATTCGGAGGTGGACAAGAATCAAGTGAGCACAGTGTCATTGTTAATAGTTGCCAGTAATCAAGTGGCACAAGTAGAACAAATAATACAAATGATGTAATGAACAGACATTAACAAACGTTAAAGTTATATAATGTCGGCCATCATTGGCACAAAGGTAACAACAATAACGACGACGACGACTGGGAAACGTAGGAGCGAGCAGAAAGGAACTTCTCTACATACGTGTATGTAAAACACATCTTTGTTATGTAGGATTTCAACAATTTAATTTCCACAATGTTCAAGGCTAGTCCAAAAAGTGCTTATCAATACGACAACAACGGGGGGATGAGGATAAGAGTTCCTGGCCCAATATAGTTGATAGGCATCAGAGTTTCCAGAAATTCGCACGCTATTTTTGCATATAATCACATTTGACTCGTTCATATACATATTTAATATTTAACGACCGACTAGACCGCTCAAGTGAAAAGTTACAAAATTACGTGTACATATGCTCATATATTGAATATTAATGTATTAATAATATATTGTTGAAGATAGGACAGCGTACTCTACTGGAGTAAAGGTACTTTAATGTGAAATGTAATGTCTCATGTGTGAAAGGAAACATGAGATGAGATAATGTGTGAAATATATCCAGCTCAGGATCAGAAAATATTAACGTGTAGTTCGCCCACGTATAAGTTATTTGATGACAGCTAGCGATTGACGATGAAAAACGACGCGGACCAATAATAATAACGAAGGTATGAAGTTTCAGTTGTTGGCTGAAACTGTTGGTGTTGAAATGGTTGGCTAAACGTGTTTGCTCAATCTCTTCAAACCGGGTGAAAGAGACGGAGAGAGAGAGAGGAAGGAAGGTGATGGATGGAACGGGGATGGCAGAAATTGAATTACGAGAGATGAAATGAAGACTCAAATTCAATCGTCCCGAATCTGCATGCACAAGTATCACACATGAAAGTGGAGAAAGGTGAGATGACGCCGCGTCCGGTCCTTTCACTCGCTTTAAACGAAAAATTCAGATTTGGGAGACAATTCGTATTCAATTTCATCGTTTTTGTACAGCTCAATAGCCTGAAATTGACAAAAGAGTTTAAATTACATTTTCACTCGAAGGAAAATAAGCATTCAGCTGAAAACTTATTTAGCAGTTTGTATATCATGATGATGACTTTGTCTGACCAAGTATATCACCATTAACAAACTAATAAGTAGTGGTAACATTTTGGAGAAAGCATTATTGTTGGAGGAAACATAGAGAAGCAATTAACAATCCGAAACTTCAAAGTCTAAGCTGCACTTGGTACACGACACTTAAACTCCTGAGCACTGCTTCTCTCCACTCCAATTATACAATGGAGCCAGAATCAACCTCAAACTTGACTAGAGTGCCACCAAAATACAAATTAATTGACTGTAATCCCAAATGAGACAATTGGATTTATTTGTTTAGTTTCAAAGTTTCACTGCATAATCTACTCTCCTCGCGCACTCCTGCTGAAACTGCAGGCTATTCTGCTTATTTATGGCCTTTGCTATGATTCGGTCTTAAAATTGAAATCTGTATCCTACTCAACATATCAAAGAGAAAGTGCAATTTCGTATCAATTGCCTTAAGCGCACATTGCAAGAAATGGGTTTGTGCGACATAAAAAGCACGCCAACGCGAAATATAGCTGAAATTTGCAAACTTACATTTTGAATGTCTCTCGTCAAGTCTTCAAGTTGCTTCTCGTGAAGTTTGTGGAGTTTTTCTTTCTCTTTCTCCTGTTTCATGGCCTCTATTTTCCTCTCTTCGATGAACTTTTTCGTGTTGTTTTGATTCTTTTCCTTGAGCCGTCGCTCCTTCTCTTGCTTATTTCGCACCGTTTTGTCATTCGTGACCTCTTAGTTGAAGAATAAATAAAAATGCATTATTTATTTATGACTTTCTTTAATTAAAAGTTTCATTAATTCTTTTTACCTTTCGCCGTCTCCACCGAAATTTTCGCTTGATTGCTTCTCATCTCTTTACTTTCTCTGAAGAAGAAGAATAAATAAATCAAATCAAATCAGGACTCATCTCATTCAGTCGTCGGGCGAGATGTGCGAGGTGACGAGATCAAAGCAGGGTAAAAAAAGTCTGGTATACGTGTATAGAATTATAGATATATTTTTGCATAAAGTTATAAATGTTGAACAGATTGGATCTATTTTCGAGATTGTGTTTTTCTTTCTGAGGCTGGAATGGAATAATATTTCGGTTTCGACGAAACCCAATGAAAGAGAGATTGCTCATTGGTTCGCGAGAGACACGATAGTGCGTTGTATCATATCAATTAATACACCATGAAACTTTGAAGGTTGAAATGGCATGAATTAGTAGACGCAAAAAGGTGGAAAGGTGATGGCCAATGTCACCAAAAGTTGGCAACAGTTTGGGAATGTCTAATGTTTCCCACGCGCCTGTCATAACTTTCTTTAATAAACTTGAAAGACTTGCCAAAACAATAACCAAAATTCACACCCACCTTTCGTGCTTCGCTTCCAATTGCTTCATCTAAAGTTTAGCAAATAATACAAAGTGTTAAACTCGTACTTGTGGTCGTATTTGTAATTTGTAACACACTCTCGTTGTATTAAGTACCTGATTTTGCTGCGAAGTTTCCATCAACTTTCGCAAAATTTCTTCTTGAGAATGCAAATGCGACTTCCTACAAGTGAGAAAAGCATTATGATTACACGCTCAAGTATGACATGGAAGTAATAAGGAATGGATGCGTGCAGTCTCGACGAAGGAAAGTAACCACTTCACACTTGTTATTTTTAATTGATATACGCTTTAATAAACCCGATTTAGTTCAGGGTTCATAGATTGCCTAATAACTAACCTCAACTCCCACTCGTCTCTTCTGTGTTTCTCCATCATTTCCGTCCATTGCTTCGTTTGCTCCACAACCAGGCGACGAATAGACGGATCAGATGCAGCTTCGTTAGGCCTGCAAATATGTAGGTAATTTTTTGTATTTATAGCAGTATTAATAAAACTGCCGTATTCAGGTCATCCATCCACAAGATTTGCCACTCCACTCCATACTTGGGATTGAAATAGAGTCACATAAATTGAAATTGCACATCCCGAATTCTGAGGTAAAACCCTGCTCGTTACTTCTCCTTGTTAGTTATTAATAGCTGGGGCACAGGGGGGAGATAACGTGGTGGTAAGTGATTTCAGAAATGCTTTGCCAATATTTGCCAAATTGCTTCCCATCTGCTCTTCACTCAATTTCGCTGGACGTTTATATGTACATAACGCGAAGGAGAAGTGTACGATGTGACAGCGAATTGGCCATTAACTTGTGCATGCTGAAGAGTGGAGATAACTTGGTGGTACTGGACAGGAATTTGTATGGTGGCGTCGGATAGAGCATTAACGCGTCGAGAGAGAATGTGCCCACCTCAATTTCCTTTTATCATCATCATCGAGACATCACACCACACTTCCCTCGCTTCTTCTGCTGCCACATGGACGGCCAGTTCGTGGGGAAAGTTGCTTTCTTCCCGTCCGTGAACTACCAACCACCACCACCAGCACCCAATCTCTTGCCAACCAACACCGACATCCGCTGCACACATACTACTCCAAATACACAACTTTCCAACTGCTCGAAATTGCTACTGCCAATCCAAACTTGCTTCACGAATGGATGAGACAGCCTCCACAAAGAGTGTGTGTTTGTGCTTATAGGGGACTTAATTGGCCAATTTTGATAGGCCATGGAATAATACTTAGGTGGTTCAACTGGCTCCTGATCAATAATTGTGGTGAGATGTATAATAATGTTACAGCTCCTATAGCGCGAGGAGGAGGACGAGAGAGATAGGTCATTACCGAATAGATTGCGACCCACCACTTTTTAGCAACATGATACATAAAGCTCTATGCACAGTAGAGAGAGAGAGGATTCTCCTATTTACTTGCACAGCCCCGAATAACGGTGCTTTATCTCCCATTTATTTCTTATTTGAAGTTTAGCTGCCTCGTTTAGAATGATTGATGAGGGAATAAATACAGGTCGGACTTATACAAGAGAACAACAGAAAATTGAGGCGAGCGAATTTAGTATCCACACACACAAGAAGAAGAAGATGACGACGACCACGGCCACCTCCAACAAAACGGAGACGGTTGCCTTCTATCTTTCTTTCTTTCTTCACATCTCACTCAGCCGAGCTCATCTCCGGGAGAAAGCAGGAGGCGAATTGAAACTCAACAGGAAGGCTTTAATTTAATATTTTATTACGTGACGGCATAACAAATAAGCTCCTCAAAGTCATCACACACAAGCTCGCAAAATCCAGAGGTCAAACTATATCAAAACGGCTCCTTTTGCATGAGGGGAGTCACAACCATGGTTTCATAATGGCGAAAATGTGTGTGGTTATGCTAAATATTTTAAAGATTAACTTTCTCAATTTTGTGGGGTGGACCAGCACGAATTTAATCCTTCGTTGCTTGTGTGGACTAATTGTTTGTCGACGGGCAGATTAGCCGTCCTGTGCATGCATACGCACAGGCCTATGTCTGTGGTCAATCTACTGTATTCTCAAATTAACATGTGGAACAGACATATTCGGTGTAATGCATATGACATCAAAATTGTTCTAGGAAATCGTGTGTTCGGAGAATTGTGCTCGACCATGTCAACTCCCAGAAGGACGCAGCGTAATCAGCTCTCTGAGAACAGATGCCTGTCCACCTCTCTCTCTCTCTTTGTAGTTATCGTTTGTTCTTCCACTCGTCCGACACCCTAATGCCCTGTCTGTCAAAGTGTCAACTGTCAACCTGACAAATGAGAGGCGAAATGAAGTCTTATAAAAGCTTCTCAAAATTACGGAGAAGGATTTTGCAAGCATGTCCGTTAAATGTGATTATTTTGGACAAATGGGTATTTGCTGGATGACCTCAATGCATTTTCCCATGAGGAAATTTTCTGTCATACTCTGGCAACTAGATCTTCGTATGACTATTCATTATTCCGAGAGATTGCCACGAAACAAATTGCGCAAAAGGACACTTGTGTCGATTTCTACGAAAGTGTCGGGAAACTCTTTTACTGGAGAATGAAAGTAATAAGCAAGTAGCTTTCTCTTGCACGTGGGTTTATAACAAATGAGGTCATTTTCTTCGCCATAATGACTACTCCTCTATTGGCTATTTCTTCTTTATTATCTTTTCCTATACGCAACTTATATAAATAATGATATTCCTCATGTCCGTACAATAATTACTTCGCTCGCATAAGGGCCACACAATTTCTGCGTCATCCTTCCTTGTTTTTGACAACATTCTCAATTCAATCTCATTACAAGAAAGAATTTGCGGAAATTGGGAGACACAAAGTGTAGCCAAAAATCTTGGTTGGTGAGAGCAAACCGAATAAACAAATCCCGAGGGCTGCAGAACACCACGGAATATTTATCACGGAACTCTTCTCCTTTCTTCGCCTAGAACTGTTCTCGGAAGGGGATGAGGAAATTATTCTTCTGTTTGCCGTGTACTCAATTCCACGTACTAATTTCTCCTCCATCCTGTCCTTCCACTCCCATTCTCGCCTATTCTACGCCCTTCCCTACAAACGGTGAAATTTTCATCTCATTTACTTCTTTCGCCGACCGACTTCGATGTCTACAGTCGCAAGTCTCCAATGGTGAAAGTAATTTCGTGGAACAATAGGACTACTCAACTCAGAATTTAATATACTAATCCGGGAGGACTGTCGAGGTTGTTAAAAACCAATGGGACGGATGCACTGCCACTTCTCAGATATTGCCACGAATCTCACTTCAATAATGGAGCTAGTGCATGCATACCGTATTCACGTCTCATTTCATTTCTCCTTGTTTATTGCATAAACGTATTTACATATGTACGTGCAATGCATAGCTCTTCCCCAACTAATTGTGAGTGTGACCAATTAGTTGGAAAGGACACTTAAATCTTCGCAGGGATGTTAAATAAGGGAGTATTGTTAGGTAAACCAAACTCATCCAGCCACCAGATATGCACTACATATTGTCGCCTGAAATTCCAAACTACGTATAATCTCGAATTTTGACCATGGTGTGCAAAGCCAAAATAAAGCAAAATCACTTTCACAACCCACACACAAACTGTAATCCAAATCTTGAGCCCAACAACAACAACAACAACCGTCATCGTAGTTCATCGTGGTCGTTCTACTTTACTTTTACAACTTGCTGCACAACGACTCATATCATAAATGGACGAGCAAACTGGTTGGCTCAGGATGAGTACTGGTTTGTTGTTCACCAACTGCATTTACATAGACGATGTGCTGCCTATATGTAGATGGTTAAGTACACACTGCAGTAGGACTGTGATAAAATTCCAAATTCCAGGAATAAATGTGCGAGATGCGAATAAAGGGAATGAGAAGGCGGAAGAGAAAGTCGTTGAGAAAGCAAGTATCCCACTCTTTGCCCAACACGACGTGTCCTTGGAATTGGAATTAACATAGAAAACATCTTCATAAATACGGAGGCAGAGCCCGTAATGCACGTTGTGTAATCAAGGCCAATGGGAACTCATCCGGGGAGGGAGGAAGTGTATCGGAAAAATTAGGCCACCAAACCCTTGTATAGTTGATATACTCATCATTTTGGGACTTTTAAGGAGTTCGATATAAAATGGAGTTCGATAAATGGGAAAAGTGCAGAGAAGTACTTACTGTTTCCCTTTCACCATTTTCTCGATGGAGACACACTGGTTCTTTTGGATGAGAAGTCTCTCCTTCGAATGTCGTTTCCTCATCGCTTCCAACTCCTTCTGCTGCTTTTTAGTCGCCTTGTTATAACCCTTCTCCGCCCGAAGACTGTCAGCCGTCAAGGGATCGAATTTCATATCCTCTGTCAAATTCAAACAAGGGACGACAACGATGAGTTCACAATACGTAACCTATTTGCAAGCTCATCTGATTCTATGCTCTTATTTCATCAAAATAAATTCAAAACCGCTGACGAGTCAAATTGAATTCGCAGAATTAACTCAATTTAGGTTGCAAAATGGCACGTCCTTGAAATTCGGTAAAAACTATAGACGATCGAATTTTACCAATTGTGGAGCTGATACATATAATGGTTATGTAACATGTATCTACATATATATATATGGCTGGATGTTAAACAATATAGCACTCAATGGACAAAGATTGAAGATTGTACATCATTTGTTGACAGTTGTGAGAAATGTGGCTCAAGAGAACCTACACATTTGCTGATGGGTTTTCAACAAGTTTTGCTATTGAAATATGTTTCAATTCCTCATGATTTGAGTTCTTTGTTGCGTAAAAAATTGCAAGGACTTTTTGAAAAGAAGTAAGCTCTCAAAAATTCCATTAATCTCTTTCATCGGAAGGAGAACAGGATCCACGCTAGGTGAGCATGTTAGAAACTACCAGAAATGAATTGAAGTAGGATCCAAGAGACCTCTCTAACCTACATTCCACCCATTTCCTTCGCAAAACTACCTCTGGCTTTCTCTCTTCGGAAAGAAGAACCCATCTGGAGAAATTCTTCGACAATTCAGCAGAGCAGACTGCCTTTCGAGAAAGCTCAGTTTTGTTTGTTTATTTTTCAGAGATCTTGCTCTCTCTTTCTGTCTCATTCTTCTGCCTACGTTCGTTCAGGCTAAAGATTTACTTTGAACTCTCAAAGGGCTAAATGAGTTATAAGGCAGTCAAGTGGAGGAGCATCTTCCTCCTCCCCTGCCTTGTTTCATTTCGGACAATGTGCCTCAGATCTGGCTATATTAGGACGAGTCGTATGCGCACTTTGAAACCTAGCATGAAATCTGAATCATTTGTAGTCAGCATAAACAAACAAAAGTACTTTGCTTCAAATATTTTCTTTTCTAAGGTAAACACCAAGTGGGTGCGCACTCAGGTCGGTTTTACTACAAATGTCATTTTTATTTCATGACCCACATGAAATAATCACTTTCACGTGGAACCACCAGCTACATGTACACGACAATAATGGAGAAAGCTCAATACATTTCTCGTGGTCGTATTATTGTCACTTTGTGGCATCCCACCAAGAAAGGAGAATTATCTATATTTATTGATAGATTCTCACCTTTGGGCTCCTCTTGGAAACGAACGCCTTCACTCTTTTTTGTGGTAGGACCCACCGTCGTGTTGCCTGGTTTGATGTTCATACTGTTAATATCTGACTCCTCGATCCCCATGGCTTGCATTTGCTGGGCTCGTTTATCTTGTGCTGACAAAAAGGCTCGGGGATCTGACAGTGCGTCCATAAAATCTGCAATACAACAATAGCATTGGAATTTTCTCGAAACTGTGGGGAGTTGGTTTTCTGTGTATTTGCATTCCTACGAATTAATTATGATAATACAACATCATAAAAAATAATTATGGGCACTAATATACATGATATAGAACAAGTAAGATATTAATTACCTCCGAATCCATCAGGCACGTAGATTTTAAGCTCAATATTGCAGAACAGCATTGGTAGAGAGGTGGGAAAGTTTGCTCTATAAATTCAATTAATGTTCAATATGTAGTTAGCTGCACGAATAGAAACGTGGTGAAATTGTTGCATAGAAAAAGTGAATAGCTTACTCAGTGCGGAGACTAATGTGCCGGAATCCAGCTAATTTGAGAAAGAAGTATTATGTATATTAGCATTTCTCAACTTATAAATATATTTCTAAAGAATCTGCAAATTTAGTGATTTCGGATCTGCACTAATTCGGTCAAATACAAAGGTTTTACCTTGTAGGCCGTCAAGAGGAAGGATCCGCTGACCAAGAAGTTTTCCGTTCTCATCATAAACTCCGAAACGCAGGACGGCTAAATCGGGAAGAACCACCTGTGCACAAAAACCATTATTGCTGGTTGGGTTGGAATTCTAACAATAATATCGAGTTACTCGGATGAGCGAGGAGTGTTTGTGCAAATACATGTGTGATATTAGAATTCCACGAAGAAAGAGACGTAGTCCTACCAAAATTTAATTCCAACCTTTCTCTCGTTATCATTATGTCGGGACAGGCTGCACTAAGGTCATCACGAGCTAAACGTGATCCACCAAACTCCAAATGAAATCCATACCCGTGAGCCCCGTTAATTGGCAACGGACCAAAAGGAGATAGAGAAAGAGAAAAAGAAAGCGATCAATGTGAGGATCTTGTCGTCCTCAGTGTCCCGATATGGGCATTGAGCTTGGCAAACGACTTCTCAATTTAATAGGACAATGGGAAGTACACAATGACTTTCATTTGAGATAACCTTATGTGCACAAGTTGCCCAATGCCATCGTGCATGCAGTGTCAGGCAGCCAAGGTCAAATAGCACGTAAGAATGAATCACTTCTTCTCTTTCTTGCTTTCACTCCTTTCGGGAGGTGGTCGAATTTTGGCATTAGTGAGAAGAGCGGAATGGTGTGGTTGTGAAATAAGGAGATCTGATGGCGATGTCGGTGGGAGAGTGAGAGCAGAAGTCGAAGGAGCCGTGGTCCTATTGATTGCTTTCTTTCCACCAAACCAAACACTTTCACCAGCACCGTGAGTAAATATTGAAACAAGTTGGCGGATCCACTGGCTTTCACTCTGCCTGTCACACACAACCACACGACGCGCACCCACACCGAAAAACCCATAAAGACACCAGCAGCCTGATTGTCATTACACTCTTTCTCACTCAGCAGCTTTCCCTGCCGCGGATCAATTCCTTATTTATGTGCGTTCAGCAGCCCCACACAATAAAACTAAGGGGAACTGGATACGATTTCGAGTAATAGATAGCACCCGAGGGGAAATTCTTGCAGAGTTGAAACCCTGTTTACTTTGCATGCAATCAATTGTGCCTCTATCCATGCATTGCATATCATCTGACAAAGTGGACAAAGTCTTCAACTCCCAACAGTTTTTTTCTTTAAATTGTACCCTCATTCACCCCACTCACTTGACCAACTTGGTTGAAGAGATGCTTGTAATACTTCTTACATTACTGTTATTGGGGATTAGTCCTGATCTCCTCTTTGTGAAAAGTTTGAGGAAAGCAAGCACGCAATAAGTTTTTCGGGGGAAAAATAAATAGAGTACAAGACTCACCTTGCGAAATAAAAACGGGTCTTCGTTGTAAACCGGATTTAGTCCATTTGCTGGAATCAGTCGAGTGCGAAATTCCTGATTGTCAAAGAGTTTCAATATGTTTACTTGGCTTTGCAATGTTCGGGTATGTGTGAAATATAATATTCACAAAATATATCCCATTTAACACGGGGGAGCAGTTTGATTCTTTTTTTGCGGTAAATGCATGTATATGTACATACTTATGGGATAGCTTAATTCATTATGTGGAATATACAAGAATCTAAGTACGTAAGCTCCTTAGTCTGCTAGACGAGTAATTACCGACCTTTCGAATGGAGTCCGTCGGTAACCCGAACATGTCCACTTCCACGTAAGTTCCCACCTTCTTGTCCGATAAGAACTGCCCAGCAATCACCTAAACGGAAGAAGGAGAGAAAGTAGTGCGGCACGTATCGACTCGGACAAATTGTGAGAATGGCGTTGGGTGTAAATGGATGAGATTTATCTCCAAGCACAGATGGTTCACTGGGTTGGAAATTAGCTATAAATTACTCACTTGAACAGAACACTGGGCGGCTATCACGCCATCCACGGGAGATTCGGCAAAAGGATCAAAATTTCGGTCCGGTCTTCGCATGAAGTCAGGTTTTAGGAGAAAGCCACATCCTCCATTGTATTCAAATTTCCCTTGGTTCAGTTGCATAGGAAGGTCCGCAGTTTGGAAGTTCAAAGACACCATCTGACACCCAGCATTCCAAAATATCTAGTGCACAAATAATTGCAATTATCGTAATTATTTTCATGATTTTAGAAATAGCATAATTCAATAACGTTGAATCAACACTTACTTGAGGCATGTAATTGGATGAATCCGCTCTTGTTCCCTTTGGATAAATTCGGCTCATTTGGCGTTTGTTGTAGTTGACGAATTCTATGGCTTGCGTTTTGAGCAAACCAAGACCCGTGGTTTCAGCAAAGGAGGACATGTAGTGGTGGCAATTTTTTTCTGCAGGAGAGGAGAAAGCATGTGACCGAATGTGAGACCTGTCAACTCATTCAGATTAAAGAGAAGTGGACAAATTGCCATACTTTCCGCCAGGTCAAACGCGGCGAATTTCACTGGCTGCGCGTAGTTTATCATGGACGACAACCATGGGTGGATGGATAAAGTGGCGGGTGTGTGGGACGTGGCGTTAGTCTGAGGTGGCTCTGGTGGCTGGTTGGAGTCTGGCTGGCTACCAGTATAATTCTGTTGGATAATTAAAATATGAATGAGGCAAGTTGAGACTAATGTGCAGGACATATATTTCGAAGGATTATAGGCAAACCCTTGGATAAGAAAGATCCTGCAGACCAAAATACGTTAATAGAAACCAGATTATTGAAGATGTGAAGTTTCAATTGCAGTGAAACTTTCACCAGCAGCAATAAACCAAACTCCTTTGCACCTTCTCCTCTCGCTGGATATCAGCCAACTTTTACACTTGTGAAAATGCGACTAATTTTCCAAAGAAAGTTTAGATCGAAAGACGGAAGTTTCATTTTGGGTTGAGAGAGAGAGAGAAAAGGAGACCACACGAAACGATTGAAGGAACTGACTTGGACGTGAGTACTTCACACACTTGATGAATACTTTCTCCCACCGTGTTCGCGGTGTGGGTAGTTATGCACATGTTATTCAATTCATGTGATGATAATGACGATATCAACAAACCAATCGCTACTGTTTTCTCTCTCTCACACACATCCCAAGTAGATGAGCTATATTGTAACAATGTGATTTCAACAATGCCTATGTTGAAACCTAGTGAGTGTGATTAGAAGATGGCATGTCATTGGTCGGCAATGTTAATACAACGTAAAATGAGCCATTAAAAATCACACTTTATTTTCAATATTGAAATCACGTTGAGATAACTTTTGTTGGGATTCATCACCTTCACACAACGTTGACTGAATGCGCGAGCGTCATTTTTGATAACAGTAGGACAACATCGACTGAACGTTTAATGCATGTTTGTTTCACATTGAAATCACAAGCTACAAAGGAGCGCGAATGATTTATCCGGCTGGCATGCTCTTCTTTCTTGATTCTCATTCACTTTGACTGTTCATTTTTCGTCTTGTCCAAAATGAATTTTTTAGTTGTTGAATTCCCTACTGATAACCCAAAAACAGTGGACGTTATTCCGCAAACGTGGCTTATCTCGAAAACTCAGTGTTATTGGCCTACTCGTTGCTTGTCAACGAATTTGACTAAAATACGACGAGAACAAGTTAAGCCTGATCGAAGTTGGGGAAAATGTGCGTGCAGAATATTGGGACATTTTGGTAAATTTTTAGCTATTTTAAATAGTATATAATTTTATTCTAGGTTAATTTTTAAACTCTGGTGTTTTTTGATAGAAACTTTTGAAGCCGCCCAGCAAGCAGCCGTTTTAGCCGAAAACACATCCGATTTGGATATTAATTTTTCTACAAAACGGTCCACCCACCGGCGACCAGAGTCCAGTTCAGATTCGACAGATGACGAGGGACCACCAATAAAAGCGAAGAAAATTACTAAATCTGTGATTAATTCTGTGCCACAAACTTTATTTAAACTTGGTAAACTAAATTATTTTGCCAAAAAATTGATAACATATTTTTGTCTAATTGAGCGCACAAATAATAATGTGTTATTTGAAACAACTTCAGGCGACTTAGCAGACGTGACTCGTGCACAAATTGACCAGGGCCTCGTTTTGTCAGGAAATAATGAGGGTGAGTTGTTGGTTAGTTTTTTTTAACTAGACAGATACTTATTGCAATTATATTCACAATTAAATTATAAACTACTTTGATTTGTCTAGAACGTTCAGCCATATCAAATGTTGAGACAGATTCGTCAGGAAGCCAAATTTTGTATATGAATGCCACACCTTCAGGTGATGGACAGTTAAATTTAGCTATTATTCCTAACGATACAAATGTAAACCAAGATGACCAATCCGTAAATTTCGGCTCCCATCCTATTTATTCATCACCGGTACCATCACCATCGGCAAATTTGGGGTTGCAGACACAAGGTAATAATATGTAAATATATTAAATGTATAATTGTGATTAAAATGGTATGATGTAGTTTTATAAGGTATTATGCTAACTATACTAAGCCAGTTGATTAATTTTTTTAACAAACTTGTTACTCAGGTTTTAACAAAGTTGTGCTCAAACATTTGGCAGCAATAAAAACTGGACAAAAATCAATACTGGAAAAGTTGGACTTAATTCTCAACAATCAGAATAGAATCGGAGTAGGACTTGACTTGAACACGGAAACGGAAGAGCCTGACTTCTCGTCATTGCCAATCTTTCCCCTTGAAAGTGTGGACGCCCTTGAACAACTCGAGTCGCAATTGGCTATAGACGATGAACGGAAATTATTTGTAAGATGAAGTACTATACATACAACAATGCCAAAATAATTCATGTTTTAGCTAATTAATTTTTTATGCGTTTAGGTACTTTATCTAATTGACATTGGAGGTAAAAGTCTCGGCGAAACAGTCAAGCGAATTTTACAGAGAATTGTTAGCGAAGATCTCGCCATAGATTTGAGCTACACTGGTCTAGGAAAGAACAAAAAACCATTTAATATCTACAAACATATTGTTAATTGCATCACAGGTTCGTCAATTAATTACAAACATATGAAAATCAATTTGAATATTCCTGAAATTAATTTTCAGCTGCAACAAAGAAAAATAAGAGACTCCCTGCAGAAGTGGAAAAAACTGAGTTTGCCATTCGTGAAATAGTGATGGACTTCTTCCGGTACTCGAGGCCAAGGAAAGCAGCGGCTTCTATTTCTCAAGATTCCACCGATTAGATTATCTTTGTTTAAAATAATATAGGAAATGTCGTCAAGTAGAAATAAGCGTAGAATTATTCAAAAAAGTTATGAAAATCTCGTGCTTGAAGTTGATGCACTAGATGAAATCTCGGTAGGTACGGTTGAGCTTTCGGACAATTCGGTATTAGACAATTTGTTACCAGATAATACAACCGTTTATAATGATGGGGCTCAATATAGTTATGGATTAGAGAAGGAAGCCATTAATAGTTCTAGTGAGTACGACAGTGATGAAGTTAACGATGCGGACCAAGATTTTAAATCAGGTTTAGTGAAATGGGTGGCAAAACACAAAATAAATGGTGTGGCAGTAGACGATTTACTAAAACTATTAAGTGCTAATATTCCTGGTGGGAATCTTCCAGAGTCTTACAAAACATTAATGAAAACCCGTACAAAATATAAAATAGATTTAATTGATGGTGGGCAGTATTATCATTTTGGATTAGAGCGACAATTGCAGAGATTAAGTAAAATTGCTGGGTTTACCGATAATTTTGAAACAATTGAATTAAAAATAGGAATTGACGGTCTCCCAATCAGTCGCTCCAGCAAAAAACAGTTTTGGCCTATTTTGGCAAGTGGCGATATTTTAAATAATGGCAAACCTTTTCTCGTTGGCTTGTATTTTAGTTTATTTTGTAAACCAGAAAAATCTGATCAACTTCTTGGTCCGCTAGTTGAAGAGCTCACACTGCTGCTCGCCAATGGGGTTGAAATTAATGGCTTGGTGCGAAAAATTTCCATTAAATGCATAGTTGCGGATGCGCCCGCTAGAAATTTTGTTAAAAACTGTGTTGCATTTAATGGTTATTATGGTTGTGATAGATGCACTCAGAAAGGTCAATGGCTGGGGAGAGTAGTGTTTAGCGAATTGGACGCCCCTCTAAGAAATGACCAAGATTTTAGAAGAAATATGTACCACAATCATCAGGTTAAGGAATCCATTTTATCCAAATTAGAAATAGGAATGGTTAGTAGCTTTGTCCTTGACTACATGCACTTAGTGTGCCTGGGTGTAACTAGAAAATTAATATCTTGCTGGAGAAGTGGACCAATTCCTTTGCGAATTGGAAGGCAAAATATTGCACAGATTTCTGAACGTTTAATTGCCTGTAAAAATTTTATACCGTCAGAGTTTAATCGCAAGCCACGGTCGCTGGTGGAAGTCGATTATTGGAAGGCAACTGAATATAGGACATTTCTCTTATACCTAGGTCCACTGGTTCTAAAAGGAATTTTGTCTCAGGAAAAATACGAACATTTTTTACAGTTATCTGTTGCGGTTAGGATATTATTATCTGATAATAGAGATTGGTATAATTACGCAGGAGAAATGTTAAATTCCTTCGTTGAAAAAGCTAGCGAGTTATACAGGCCCGAATTTGTAGTATATAACGTACATTCGTTAATTCATTTAGCAGATGACGCTAAAAAATTTGGGTCCCTAGAAAAAATTAATGCTTTTGAGTTTGAGAACTACATGCAACTTCTCAAAAAAATGGTCAGAGGAAAAAAACACGAGCTCGCACAAGTAATTCGTAGAATATATGAGGTAGAGCAGTCTAATTTGTTAACCAAATCTAAATGTAGAGAATTGCATATTTCGACAAAACCAAAGGACAGGGGATTTGCTTTATTATCTGGGGAAATTGTTATTGTAACAGAATCTAATAAAGATTCTGACGAAGTGGAAATTACAGTTTTCTGTAATAAATCTGATTATTTCACAAATCCCTGTGAAAGCTCAAAGCTATGTATATATGTGGTTCGAAATTTGTCTCCTAGGTCTAGACGAATTAAGAAATCTGACCTTTATCATAAAGTCGTGCTATTACCATTGTCCGATTCCTCGAATGAATATTTATGCCTACCATTTTGCAGTCTTAAAAGTGTATAATTTAAATCAATTAATTGTAATTGTGCACATAAATAATATACATAGTATGTACATAATAATTCACACTAATATTGTATGAAAAGTTTTCATAGACGTATTGATATTTGTAATAATAAACGATCATTAATTGTTGAAATAATAAATTTGGGTGTGAATTAAATGTGAATGTGCATCATTTATTTAACATCAATGGCATGTGAAAAGCATGTAAAATTCGACAATATTAATATCATCCTAACGTTGCAATCACATTCAAACCACATTGCCTCAACATGAGCACTTTTACAATTTCAATGTTTTATACACATGAAAAAAGCGGCCATCATTCACTGTGATCCAACACGTTGATTATCACATTGTAACAATATCATTCTTCTACTTGGGATGCTGATTGAAGCTGCAATTTTTTGCTGAGTGGGAAAAATATCTGAAATATGAGCACTCACTGGTTTGTCCTCTTTCGGAACGATTTCCACGGCAGAAGCATCCTCCCGACACTCGTCATCATTTATCTCGAACTGACCCTTCAAAAACAGCTCCAGCTCTATTTTCTCAACCTCTGAAAAGACCAAAAATTTATTACATTTTTACTTGTCCATTTTCGTGGGCTTATATTTTATAGACAACACCCTAAGAAGCTCAACGTGCGACCTGTCGACGGTGCCAACAAAGTGCCCAGTTGGTTTTTATCTAGCGATTGTTGGCGATAGTGCCATTTGAATCACCTACTGCTTTGCAGACCTGCATAATGCGACGGTTGTTTGGAAGATGGTAGGATCAATATCATCATCGTGACATTTCTAATAATAGCACGACATTTAGAGCACTATTCAGCAATTTTATTTATGTTGGTTCTCCACTCTGATCAGTCTGCATGCATTTTGCGACATTTTTAAATTTAAAATGCAGATCATTACGGTTTTAGATTTGACCTTTTCAAGTTATAATCCTAATAACTTTTTTATTATGCATCAATCCAACTAATCTTCAAACTGCATCTCATTATTTTTATAATTTATAAAACCAACAGTTCTTAGTTGATGCATATGACCAGAGTAATTATAGCTTTCTCCGTCTCTCTGGCCCCAGACCAATATTGCAAAAAATCACACAAATATTTTTTATCAATTTCTCCGTGTATTTAACAACCCAAATTCAACCTTTACGCAGGTAAATTAGCAGCTTCAAGTGTGGCAAAAGATGATTTAATGAAATTTAAAAAATCAGAAGGTGAAAAAGTGTACTAACCTGGTTGAAGACGCTTATTCTTTATGAGGATCTTGCGTTTGAGAGCACTTGGTGGAGGGAGCGGTGCCCCTATTTCCAGCTAAATCATCACAGGACAAGATAATATTTTCTCAGTTTTCGGGAAACATTCGGATCCGTATGTTCATCACGTTCTGACACTTCCAGATAACAATCCACTCTGCCAACTTTCCAAACGAAACGCCATCGTCTCACGAACACATCTCTTTTACTATCTCCCACTTTCTTTTCTCTGCAATATGCCCTCTCGATTTTTGGATCAGTTCGATAAAGATCATGGTGTATATGTCTGTCAGATTAGGTGAAGAAAGGCTTATGAAATCATTATTGTATCCGAATTGGATACCTTGCTTAAAATTCACAAACTTCCGACGGTCTAATTCGAACTGGAATAGTCCATTTATTACGTAGAGAAGCCCTGATGGTGTGGGTGACCTATATTCTCCAGACAATTTTTTTTTCTATCATCACCATCTTTGCAAAAAGGACGAAATTTTGAGTTTAGCGTGAGGGAGAAAGCAAATGGTCTAAGTGAGGGTTTAAGAGTAATCTCGTCGTTTATGGCTGCCATGAAGGCTCGACGAGAGAAATGAGATAAACACTGAATGAGAAAACGTGTGGCGTTGGAAAAGTTCTCTGTCCGTGTCACAACTTTCGCTTTTGCTTATATGAATATGCTCCTGTACGTACCGGATAGTCGGGCAAAGGCTCTTTTAGTAGGAGATCTGCACAAATGAAATGAATTTATGTGCATTTTTATATACATATATATGCATCCGTTTGATTCATCTTCTCATTGTCACATCTTATATACACGTATTTATTTATATATATGCATATGTACACGTATAAGCGTTACCTCCAAAAATTTCATCACAGTATTTGGCCATTTTGTATTGCTGGGCTTTGCAGCAATGATTCTCGAAACTAAAGGGAGAAATGACCATGTAGTAAATTTTTTGTTTTGCCATAAGGAGAATAAAAACCAGTCTTGGTCGTTGCCTTGCCTTAGAATGACGGGATAGTCGGAAGTAACAAACGCAGTATCGCGTATCGCGAAAATCACATCCTGCAATAAAATAATGCCAGAGAGTAAGTCAGCCTCCAGCTCGATGAGATATCAAATATTTATGAAGGAGAGATGCCACCAGGCTATTTCTATTTCTGGACTTTATTGCCGGGGTCCACCCACCTGCTTCGCCAATCACTAAAACGCTATATAACTAATGTGTATACGAGCAAAGCACTTTCTGTGTATACGGAGCAATAAAAGTTACTAGCACTAAAAATTAAATGATCGAAAGTCTTCATCTGAATTGCAATTGATTTTGAGGAGTATTTGTAAAATGTACATTTGCAAATTGGCATGTTTGTCATCAGTTTTTCTACTCATTGGTTTGATTTTTTTTAGACGAAATATGTCTTTCTATACACTAAAAGTGATGTAGCACGACGCTATGTATCGAACATATTAAAGACAAACGGATAAACATAAGTATTCGATAAGCCCTGGCTGCAATCAATGACAAATTAGAAGTGCAACTCCACTGAAAATTGTCTAGAATTCTGAAAGAATTTTACTTGCACGTTAAAGCTTTATTAAGAAAGTAATATTCTACGAGTGCTCTCACAACAATCAGCATGATTAAATTTTGGCATGAAACAAAATTGCTTCTGCATTGCATACTGCTTTCAGCTCTCTAATAGGATGGTTGATTAAAAATAATAACAGAAAATGTCTACTTTGTGCATGAAAACCGTTTTTAATGAGAGTTTGTTTACATTGTGCTTACTTTAAATAGAATGTCAGTACACATTGCTTTCCCATGTGTAATGATGGCTGAGGCAAATAATGAGGAGGAAAATTATTAGAATTTTGAGATTTCAAACGTCCCAAGAATGAAAAACATGTTGATTAACTTTGAAGGCTTACGTTCTTCTTCGTCCCTTCCGTCCCAGCAATCCAACTCGATACATCTGAAAAAAAGTAATTTGTAATATTTCTGTGATATTTTTCATACCCTGAAACTTCAATTTAACTCTTTGTATAATGAAAATTCCAGATTCTACGTCTATTCAGTAATGTCTGATGAACTGAGTAATGATGACCGTCAAAAGATTAGGCAAACCCTTATCCCCGAAATTACTCTTACAGATCATAATATCTTCCGGGGTGCTTAATGATACCGACAAGAAGTAGACGAGATAAAGAAATTCGGTCAATGATGAAAGAATGGTCTCGCTTTCTATGGTTATTTCGTGTTCATTACGGAGATGGGCGGCCTACCCGACAATGTGCGTATGTTATATAATGCATAAAAGGAAACACGGAGAAAGTCGTGGTCTCTATCCAAACCAACCACGGAGATCATAAGCAGCTATCTGGCTAAATAAGCATGCAACCGGAGTAACTCATCGCATCATATCTGTTTTGCGTGTTTGTACCCTCTCTCTAAAGACTTTTGTCGTTCTGTCCCACAAAATAAATGGCACGTTCGCAGGGAGACTGCAAATGGGATGAACGCCGCGCTAAAAATAGGAGTAGCTGCTGCCAAAAACATAAAGATAAATTGGAGTACTTAGATTCGAAGAAGGAAAGGAATTTGTCTTGTTCATCCGGCTAATGCTCAAAGTCTGTTCTCTCCGAGACGCCCTCCTCAGTCGTCACTTCACTCAAGCCAAAGTTCATATCCAATTGGGTTAGGCATACAGTTCACCATTCTCAGCTTTTCAAAGTGTAGTCGCTCGTGGTCATGTTAATCCTGGCACTTAGCATTGAGGAGGAGAAAACATACGGAAAATGTGTGAAATTCTGAAGAATGAGGCAAAACAGACGGTCCTCATCGATTTTGGCTCACTCAATCCCTACGGGTTTGACTACGGAGGAAGAATTTCACTAAATCTTGCAAATCAAAATCCAATTTGGCAATGCAGATTTGAGCAGAAGCCTCAAGTTCTGACAGCCCTCCTCGCTCGAGTATATAGCATCGTAAAGTTGGTGGGCATAAAATTAGCCAAGTTTCATGACTGACTAGAACAAACTGTAAAGCCAGTGATGCACATGATGAGATGAAGACTTGGTTGTTAAAAGCAAAGTTGGGAAAGTTGCTCGAGTTTTGGAGCGAGCGAGGTTGAGGGCAAAGTTGTGGATGGACAAATGTCAGTAAATAAACATGCCGTTTCAGGAAGCGTTTCCCTCCGCTGTATTTTATGCAGGATGATACGCTGTATATCTTTCGGCTGCAAGTGTCGCTTTCTCACTATAAACACCAGGATGTGTGGTTTTCATTTAGCCACGAATTTCTGTGCGTATGTAAATACAGTACAGATATTTTGCTGACAAGGGACACTCACGACCTGTCGTTTGAGTCTAGGATATCCACTATGTTTTTTAGAATCTACTAGGACCCCAGATGAAGGATTCATTCATATTTCCGTGTAAAACTCATATTTGGCGCCGTGCCGTGGCGCTAAATTCGCCAAATTTCAATGTTTTTATTTTTGAAACCGCCATAACTTTTGAAATCCTGGGCGGATTTTCAAAATTTTTTGCAAAAATCATGACAAGGAGTTCAACTTTCGTATCCCATGAAATTTTTTCCAAAATTTTCGCTTTTAAATTTTCGCAAAATTTCGTAATTTTCTTAGAAATGAGGGTTCGTCGGAAAAATGCTAAAAATATTTCAAAAATTCGAAATTTTTTATTTTTATTTTTTTCTCATAAATTTGGACTTGTGTGATCATTTTAAGCATAAAATTTTGAAAATCCGACATAATCTGCAAAAGTTATGGGGGTTTGAAATTGGTCGAAAATGCAAATTTTTAAGTTTGGCGCCACGGCACGGCGCCAAATATGAGTTTTACACGGAAATATGAATGAATCCTTCATCTGGGGTCCTAGTAGATTCTAAAAAGCATGGTGGGTACCCTGGACTCAAACGACAGGTCGTGAGTGTCCCTTGTGAGATACCAGTTTACAGTTTGTCAAGTTCATAAAATCTAAAAAAAACAGATATTCCTTATTCATTCATATTCTATCGACGGAGGGCAAGGACAACGAAATACCGCTCAAATCTGTCAATGTTCCATATGCCAATGTATTTATGAAGAGAGTAAAAGAGATTAAACATGCGGGAGGTTTTAATACCTGCACCCAGCGAGAAGCGTTTGACGATACATTTCCACACTCGACTTGCCCCCAAATTGGCGACCGATAAGGTACGTGTTGTGAGAAGAGTTGATGTAATAGTGTGACAAGGGTTGATCTGAAACAGTTGGATACTCATGTTCATCATCACGTCGACTTGATATCTCCATCCAAGCTCTCGATGGAGCTTGGAGGAAAACTGGCAGGCATAAAACGGTTTCTAACCCATGTCCATGTAGGTATCTAAGCGGTCTAAAAATACGGGCGCGTTTTCGTCCGACATCAGGTAACGAATTAGTCCATCCTTTGAAAGTCGACTGGAGGCCTTGAACTCTTCATTGGGTTCGTAGGTTTGGATGATCTCGGACGCTCGCTTCTCGTTGTAGAGAGGATACAAGATTTCGTTCAGACGTGGATCCCGTTGCTTTTCGTTCAGGAAGTAGATGAACTGGTTCACATCGATGTAGTCGGCTTTCCCCTTGGTGCTACAGTCAGAAGGGAAAAACCTACTTAGAGATGCGCTACATAGATCCAAGTCCGTGTAAAGTATGCTAACTCGAGTTGACACATTATTACTTATGTAAAACTTGCATCGTATAATGCGTATATCGAATTCTCTCGAAGGACTGAATGGGCTCTACTGCTGAGCGAATTCTGGGGAAAGCTCTCATGGAGGCTAATTGCCACTTAAAAGTTGAACCGAGAGTTGAAAAATATGCTCTTGTGGAATAATAGAATTGAAGGTTAGCTGGAGGCTTTGATCAATTTATTACATGCGACACTGTGGCTTGGATAAAGTTGAAAGGAATATTTCGAAATCTCAATCCACTCTTAGCGTTGTACCGAAAGTCATAAAGTTTTAAAATTAAGTTTCCAAAGTTCATTGTTAACTTGCATTCCTTGTTACAATTCGTTCATCTTTCGCCACAACCAATTTATATTCTGAGAATGGAAAATCGCTAGCAAAATAAGAGAATTGATATAAATTGACACAAAGACAACTGGTCAATGGAATTAAGTTGATTAAAATTGATCAAAGTACACTAAAAATAAAGCACTTTCTACAATAAAAACTTACATGGACTGAAACAGCTCTTCAATATCGTTCCGTGGGCAGATCTTATGGTACAGAGCGACGAATTTTTCAAAGGTGAAGTCTGCAGGCTCTATCACGTCGGTCTGCAAAGAAAGGAGATGTTCGTAGGATTTCTTACTCTCAATGCATGGAGGCGGAGGCTCTGCTAAAAGAGTTGGGTAAACAATTTGAAAAGCTGCAGTCAAAAGGTATCAAATTTGTTGTTGGAGAAAGCTGAGAACGCTGAAAAATGTGAAAGGTCACTCACTACACAATGGTAAATAAGTTGGCTTGCAATTATGCCAACGGGCAATGGGGCAAGCTCAAACTTTCACCACTCGTCAGAGTGAAAGTGAGTGGATAAATTCTCCACAGCTTTTCAAAAATTTTCTTCCTCTAACATTAAGTTCCTTGATCCTGTTTACCCTTGGCCAACGTTACAGCCGTACTTCTTAACTCGTCACGAGATGAGATTGGATATGTGGGCATAGAAAAGCTGGCTTACCCTTTCATTGGGGAGAGCTAGCGATTTTAAACACTCGTACACGAATTTCTCCGTCTTCCCAGAAGCGAACGTCCTCGCGATTACTTTCACCGGCACTTTCCCATTCGCTAATAATATCAGGACGTAATTTCAGGTTACAACAATGAACCAACCGAACCAACTTATAGATAATTCAGAAAGAAAAATACTTACGAGCCACCATAAACCCCAAACGCATCCAACTGTACCAAAAATATTTTAGTCAGAACTTGTTGTTTGTAATACAGGATTATTACATAAATAAAATACATAATTCTATTATAAAACTGAAGCAAAAATAAGCCAACATTTCGTAAATAAGCTGGACCTTCATACATTGCATTGATGCTGCCGAATCTCTTACATCTTGTCGTAAGACGTACATACATACGTAAGTGTAAGAAGACTGGACAATGTTAGATATGCTCCCTGCTTCAGATTAGTCCCACAAATTAGTACGTTGTATAAAAGCAGTGCTACTTCACCGTCATTGATTTAATCATAGAATTAATTGGGAAGCAGAAAACCCAAAAGATTTGCACACAATGGGTAAAACATATAATGAACAGGATCCTTGAGAATCTCAACAACTTCTTCCTTTGTCTAAAGCCAAGTGCTTATCGCGATGATGCAACAATTCTAAGCCTACACGTTCGCAGTATGATGTAAGTGAAAATTAAATGCAGAGGTTCTCGTAAATACTTCGAAATATTGCAATAATCCAAAGTAGCCACGCATTGTTCAAAAACATTTGAGTGGAGCCTGTAATGTTTCTACATAAGTATATGGTTCATTTTCATTCACTTTCTTGTAGTCTGTTCTTAATTCCGATGGGAATCATGGGCATTGAAAGCATTTAAGAAAATAAAGTTTGGGCAATAAAGGGAACTCTAAAAAAACCTATTTTATCAGCATGTTGGTTAAGATGGAAAATGAATGACGGCCTACTCCTTCAGTGGAAGACACATTTTAAGTATTTCATATGAATGCACGTAATCCCTACAGAAGCGTCAGTCAAACATTTCTATATTTAGGAAACTTATGACTTTGCCGTCAATCGCAAAATGTGGAATAATTATTTCAACATGAGACAACAGTAGTAAATAATACGCTTCGTTAAGCCAATACCTGTTTGTGCATCAAGGTTTATATAATATCTCTGAACTGAATATGCATTAGCAATATCTCCGGCGGAGAAAATCATGCGACCCATTAATAATTCAAACAATTCCCACCGTAGCGAAAACATTTGTCGTTTCCTATGTATAAGCACACAATGGTTGCAGATCACGAATCCATTAGCGCCATTAAAGCAGTGTCTCTAAATTCCATTGTTTCGTGTACAAACGCAGTTGCTGAACGTGTAGCTGGAACAAATTGGTTTTCTCGCATGTTTTCCCCACAAAGCAGAGCGTTCAATCCACCCAAACTGAAACAACGGGCAGTGCGCTTAGGGCAAATCTAAGAGGTGAAAGCAAGGTGAAAGCATAGCGATGGACATTCCACAACCAATAACGTCAAATCCAGTGATAACACAAAAAAACCATGCAACACGAACAGTGAAATGTACAACGTACCACGGTCACATGTATTTACATAAATACACCTCAAAATAACTTACTGTTTCATAAGATTGGTTGCAGGGCATACGTTATTCATTTTGTTATTATGAGTTAACGTACGCAACCCAGTTTGCCATATCTAAAAATGAAGAAAATTCTAAAAATAATAAACAAAAGTAATGACAAGTTTAATCATTCTCGAAATAATAGGGAACTTATAACGCTTTAGAAACTTGAGAAACATTAAAACTATACATACACGTGTAGATGAACGAATTCAAATGGCATCATCATGGCTCTACATGCATGCAACTTTCTCCAGAAAAAAACATGCATATTCTGGTGAGCAAAGTGGAGGCTGGGGTCGAGCTAATTTCGTGTGCCTTAATTAACAAAAGTTTGGACAAATGGAATGCTCGTTCGGGGTAATGCCTCACTTGGGATTACAACATTCATGCAAGATAATGAATATTTCTACATTTCACAAAACATTGGCTCGACTCCTACGAACTGCTCAAACTGGGCGAAAAATGGCTGCAGGATAAGCAAAAGTTAACTGTATGTTTCTGCAATATAATTACGATCAGCATTGCCAAGTTGAACCTCTTAATGAAAAAATTATAAACAGCAACTGAATTTTGAACATCGATGACAACACTGATTAAAATGAAAGACGCAGTTGTTTTGCACTTACTGCTTTTTAAGACAGGTCATCGGACTGATATTGTTGGCTTTGAAATTGTGGGTAATTCGACGGAGGCCTTCTAACCACGTCTGTGAAAAAGTACTCTTTCCATTAACTCCTCATTCATAAGCACCTCCAGTTTTTTTACAAATTCTAACGTTCTCTGCACAACGAATTCATTTCTCTTTGTCTCTTGCTAACAATGGGATTTTATCAGCTGGACGTGGTGTTTACTTTACTTTGGGTCGAAGCGTAACTGTCGTTTCAATGGAATGTGGCATACGAATGGTGTTCATTTTGGAGAAAGTGTCAACACGTGAACGTATGTATGTAAATATATTGTGTAGGTAGACTCGTTACTTTTGGCTGCCTTATTCCTCCGTAGTTTGCACAAGCATTCAATCAAATTGTGACAAATGTGTGTAATTAATTGGACTTTGTGTGTCAATCACAAAAAAACTCGTTCTTCAAAAACACACGCCACACATTAGTGATTAGTTTATGTACACTTTGTTTTGCTTGACATATCAGAATACGGGAAAATTAATAAACAGCGGAGGTGAAAACTAGAATTTCTATCACCACAGGTGGTACTGATATGTATCTATTTACGTAGATACGAGTATTCATACGTAACAATTACGGATTTATGTTTGACCTATGTAGCTTTCACAAGATTTGACATTCACAAAATATACGATTTTGTGTGTTTCACCCGTTGTAAGTAATTACGAATGAAAAGGGGAAAACAACAAAGAAATCGCTCACGTACCTTAGCAGTCTCGGCATCAGGATAGACGAAATGAGTGTAAATGATGTTAACTAAATCAGTTCCACTGCAAACCGTCAAGGACTTTTCTTCCAACAAATCTCCATGTTTCGCTTGTAGCTGAGATAAAAGTCTTTGGTCCTGAAGAATCGAAATAAAAGTTTTACGTCCCAATTAGAAAAGTTTACAAATGTCTCAGATTTAAATAAAATTATTTGAGCAATTAGTTCCCCGACTGAAGATAAGTACTCTCGACGAGTGTACCGAAGCAAATAAAAATACAGTGAACTGTCGCAATGAATTTTAAGTTTTTTTTCTCTCGTCGTCCTCTGAGCAATAATGGGATGGGAAGAATAATGGAGATGGAGAATCGTTAATATTCTTTTATGGGGGAGACACACTAACCTCGAGGGAGGGAAAGCCTGTGCTCAAGAAAAAACTCGCTTCCTTCAGCCGTTTGTTGTAACGAACGAGTCGCAAGATCTCGTACATAAAATATCTTATTCGCTTTGATCATATTCGTGATTTACAGTGCTCAAGTAACTCAACAAGTTTCTCGGAAAATTGCTCAGAGCTAGGGAAAGTTGTCGAGTCTTCATTAAATTAATGACCTGTGCTGTTGACTGACTAGATTTGATTTACTTTTACTTCAGAGAGAAATATCAATTTGATTACTTGTGCTACTCTGCTGATGAAATTTTGGGTGTGTGTCTGCGTAGGTGTCTCGTCCTCTTGTACCACTCCGAACAATGATGAATAGGACGAGCACACGGTAACAAATACTAATTATATTTTCGATTTCCTGCATGAGCTAATCCTAAACTCAAATTTGCGATTAGTGCTGCGGAGAAGTCAGTGAAATGTGGGATGATTGATTTCAATTCGCATTCATCTCCATGAATATCTGTCAGTTTGGTATGCAATTCAATCAATCATTAACCTACCAGGCTAATTGTTCTTCTCAATAACTCAAGACGCAAATGTGGGAAAGCTCAAAATTGGGGCAGTATAGTACATGGAATAATTGGAAAATTGCTCACTTTGGGCACGCCCCCAGCTCGGATATCACTAACTTGACATAGTTCCAGCACGTCTCCATCCTGTAAGAATAACGCCACAAGAAAAGCAAACAGTTACACATTTGTTGTTTAGCCTAAAGCGTGGGATGCATAATGTGCGCATATGTATCAATTACAAATTTTCTCCATGATGAGTAAATATATTTAGTAATCCTATAGATTTACATATGCACATATTCTGCTGCTCTATAGAATTTTCTACTATTCGCAGGAAACTAATCACAAACAAAACTTTGTCTCAATGCAAATAATTGAATGTACAATGCTCGAGTACACATGGAACAAGTTTTGTTTCGCACAAAAGTTTCCGCAAAGAAAATGAAGTTTTTCGTTTTATTAAATTTTGTCATCCTCTCAACTTTTTTGGAGAAAGTTGAGCAACGCCTGCGTACAAATATCACTTCCTCTACAATTTCAGAGAAAGCGGTTCATCGTTCTGACCGCACAAACTAGACAAATACTGAATATCTGAACCTTGAATGTGGATTTTCTACGTTCATCAGTCCATAATAATAGTAAAGAGTAAAAGTAAATTACCCGAGGCTCAGACTTCCAGTTCATGAAAAATCCATACTCATCAACTCTGACGAGGCATTCAATCTGTGAAACAGTCAGATATCAGTCAGGTGGCACATCCATAATGAGCACATAGGTCGTGATATTTGGTTTGATTGGGTTATGTAAATACGACAACGACTAAATAACAGACTTATCTGAATTATTTGAAATGTCGAGGGAGAAGCCTTTTAACCCTTCCATTAAATATCTAAATAAACCAAAATCAACCAATAAATTACGAAATTCTCCAGTACTAACTTCCATTTGAATTTCTTATTCAATTGTCTCCTAAGCGAAGGGAATTTGTCTCGACATAAAAAGTTCTCAAAATTAGTAAACTGCATGTGCATACAATTTTGTATGCAATGAACACGGAATACAGCTAATTCACTGTATGATCTTCGTTTACATTCTGTTAAACCCACTCAACACCAAATGTACATGTGCTTCATTGCTAGCTAATAATAGTACCTCCATCTCCACAGCATCCTTTTCCTGAAATTTTAAAAAACAAACAGATTACCAAATGTCCATTATTTTCCTACTCTATTTGTCAGCCAAAGTGTGTATATATTCAGAAAGGACTGCATAAGTACGGAAAATGCAAAAACTGTGGGAAAACGAGAGTAAATCCCACTCAAATCTCCGTGCATTTTTCCACTACGGCGGCACCATACTTTCCACTTTCTCTTTTATCTCTTCAGCTCAGCAGTTCACACTTCACAGGGCGACGGAGAGATGAAAAAGACGGATGCGTTGAGTCCACGAAGAAGTGGTTGAAATCTTTTTCCTCTTAGCATCGAGGCTAATGCGGGAGAAAGTGTGCATATCATTATCGAGGAAGGAGGAGGAAAACTTGTTCAAAGTTTGTTAATATATGCAGCATGGCACGGTCTACTAGGCGCTGCTGCTGCTCGTGTCATATTTTACTTGCCCCTTCACCACCAAGTTTTTCCCTGCTTTCTTCCTCTCACTCCCTTCACGGGGAGGCAGGGAGAGAGAAAACTGCAGACATTGAGACGAGGATGACATGACCTGACACAATGAAGGCGAGACGAGAAGCCCAAGTGGGAACACATGGTCTCCTTCGTACGTATTTTATTTACCCGTCCGTCATGGAGGCACGCCATGTACGTGCAATACAAATCTTGGCCTCTTCTCATCTCGGAATAAATAAATCGTGGTGGAGAGGTGGATTAATATGGGGCAGATATGTATGTATATAAACCAAGAGGAACAAGCAAGAGGCAGATGTTGAACACTTTTTTATTACCATGCTCCACTTATCGCATTTTACCAGGGAAAACATAAAAAATGTATAGCACATAACCACTGGTAAGTAGCTGCAGGGATGCTTGGTGGGCCGGTTTGATTTAGGATGTTTCATTTTTTCAGAGATTAATAATTTGAGAAAATTGGTCCATGGTCGACGACACAATCAAAATTTATGGCTCACCTCAGTCCACCGATCCACTTGAACACCTTCGAGAAGCAACTCAGGCACCGGAAGCCTCCAATTGAATTCAGAATATTTTGTCATTTTTTCGCCCTGTTGTTCTTTCAATGGTGGGATTCGTGAAGCTGGAGGTTATTGGTCCCTCGGTGCACGCGGTGATGTTTTAGAGTAGCAAAATCATCCCGAGTTGACATCTGCAAGGACACAAATATGTAGGCTTCAGCTTAGAACTAAATGTTGGATGCGTCCCAATATTATTTATTGTTATTCGACTCAGGAAAGTAGAGACAGAGTTGTACATATTGCACCACTGATGCAAGTTGGGTCTGAAGTTGATATTCATATTCGCAAAGCAAACCGCCGCAAAAGATTAGCTTATCGGCAGTATTGTTTATTATGTCGTCTGTGTGTAAATACAAATTAATGCAAATTCAGTTTATGTATATGATAACAAATGAACCTGTGTGTATGCATGGAGAAGGTGACGAATACAGAGAGTTTTCATCCCGAACAAAGCGTATTTCGCGAATCGTGCGAGAGCGAACTGAGCCAGAAATGATTCGTTGTTGCGCAATACATAGTCCACAAATTCTGCTGTCTTTGGAAATGCCACAAAACATTAAACAGTCACACAACATGAACCAGAAGAGAAGAGAGATTATACATTTTGAGCATGAATTTCGGATCCGGCGTCTTGTTCACAACAAGAGGAGAGAGAGAAAGAGAGGAATAATTATGTGAGGGAGCAACCTAAATACATGACTAGCGTGGCATGACTGACTTGATTTATGGCCGTTAATTCCGTAAGATTTATCGAAAGATAAGTGATATATAGGCTTCAGATTGACAACTTTTAATAGCTTCACTTCAACCGCGTGAGTTATTATAGTCTTCGTCAAAACATTATTGTGTGGAGGACACGCTCCATTCATTGGATCAAATGAGAAATCCATAAATTCCTGCCAGCTGCACTCAAATGTGTTTCCAATTTTCTGTCGGAATCAATGAAAACTGTAATGCCTCATTTTACTCTTAAATTATAGCACATTCTATTATCACATCAAGCCAATGCATATTTCCTACTGTGTCAAGGTGACATAAATTGAAAATTGGTTTACGATGACGAAGACGACGACGACATGAATGCAATTCTGAGATTGGATGCGGTACAGAAGTGAAATTTGAGAAGACGGGTAACAGATAAGGGGCCGTACATCAAGGATGTGATCGATTTTCGGATAATTTAGGCCCCTGCTCGCCTGATGTGGCCTGTACGCCTCATGTTATATTTAACATGAGAAGGATAAGATGCCCTGACCCCTCAAATCGATCACATGCTTTTTGCAGTCCAATTGAGTGAAATAAGATGGATTCAAGTTGTACTTTCCAACTCAAGTTGGACAACCTCTTGGCAACAATGAGCCATCAACCATTCGACCCATTTAGCAAAGACATGTGACAAAATGAGACGAGATCAACAACTCCTCCGTACATTCGCAAAACACTTTCTGTGTACACAAAATCGCATTTGCAATCCAGTAAATAAGAAGACGTTCTACAATCTGGAGCATACTAGAGTTTGCATAAGAACTAGCAAATAGTTCAATATTGATTTATTCATTCCATTGACTTTTCACGAGCCGAGAGTACAGAGGTAAATGGCATGTTTTTACAAACACATTTATCCGAGAAGGGATCTTAATGAGGGGAACCTGGTGAAAGAGAATGACTCGGTTCCTCTTTGTGCACAATGCAAATCAAACGCCTTGTTTGTGGTAAACGTAGTAAAAATAGTAATAAAATGGGAGCTAAGAAAGCGATTCAGGTCAAGTTTCACGTGACTCTCGGTTTGCTCTCTCTCAATCGCGACTTTCTTATTACAAGAAGACGACGACGACAAACCCAGAAAGCAATTTTGCGAAACTTCCTCCTTCTTCTGATGGTTGAGCTACTGCTCGTACAGCCCTCGCCCAGCCAGTCAGATGAGCTTCTTCACATGACGACTTTTACTTTCCTGCTGGTGGCGATTGAACATTTGCAAACAAAACACAGAGCAAGAAAGTCAAACTCCAAATAAGCAAGGGCTGCAATCCTACTTGCTAAATGAACCCTCACCTCTTGCACCTGCTTGCGAATTCACATCACAACGGAATGAGTTGTAGCGAGAGGCGGAATTCGTGACCATATTACTCAACCAATTACGTCTTCTTCTTCCTCGGCGGCGGCTGAATGCAGCGACAGAGAGAGAGAGATGGATGGATGAGTTTTGGTGAAGTTTCAACATGCAAGTGACGAAGAAAAGCCATCAAATAAGTAAGTTCAGTTTGCAGCGTCGAATAGGAATAAGGAATCAACTTTGACAATTATAACTCTTCGTTGAGCTGTGTCCCGTCTTATTGGATTTCCATTTCGCAATGCGTCAGTCACTCAAACCTACTTATTTCCCTTTTTCTCTGCTAAATTCAGATTCTTCTAGCCGTACGTACCCATCCACATATAATATCCACATGCAAAAGATATTTACTATTTAGATATTTGGTGTTAAAGATGAAATAGATAGGATGCACGGTCTGACTGATGACGACCATTTTTGGAGCCTGTGCTATTTTACTGAATATATTGTGTCTAAACATCTGCATTTGATTTGCAACTGTTGGTGACATATTTTCATGTGATGCACTCTTCTAACCATCAAATGTCAAACTGGATTGAATTAGTAGAATATAATTCGGTTACGGTATTATTCTCATGTTTGTACTCGCGTAGTAATAACCATTCTCCTGTCGACTGCACGTACTCTCTGAATACGTAGATAAGTAAGTGACATGAGTAGATCCACATGTATGGTATGCATACAAAGTTATTCTTATTGAGTCAGGTAATAACAACTGTTTGCCAAAACTGAAGTATGTACACACGTACGTACCACATTGTCAAATTAATGAAATTGTTATAACTCTGACCTTTGTTTATGTATAATCCATGAACTTGAATCAAGCTATAAGACGATGAATTAGGTGTGTTGCCAATTGCGATGTAAAGCAGGCTTAAGCGACAACTGAAATCCCGACGTCAACCAGCAGATCCTTATATCTTCTCGCATAATTATCTATAAAATGGCACCATGTAAAAATTCAGCTTCATACACATACTCAAGTTACTCGTATAGTAATTTTCTAACATAAAATCTGCGATTTATCGATGTCTCAATAAGGAAACAAGAGAAGATAATTAGGGACTGGCCATTTCATAACTCTTAATTCAGTTTAATTGGGATTTGCGAAATAAAAATTATGCAATTGTTCCTCCTCCTCGATCCTGAGATTATTGTTAAGACTTCTTTCTACCTTCTTTGCTGGTAGGATGAGCACGTGTCCATACTCTGCTGACTACGTGTCTTGTGGTGGATGATTTAATTAGCCGTTTTGCATGCTTAAAGTTAATGTGTCAAGTTTACGTGCACGAAGTCCATACCAAACCGTTTAGCTAAGCTGATCTGCCAATTTAAATTTAGAAGCTAACCTATTACGAAACTTTTGACGGGTGTTGATGATGATATTTAAGTATCTATGTACCTGTAAGGATGGCGTATGAGGATAATAGATAAAAGATGATGCAGTGAAATAAAATTTTTCAAATACATAAATCTTGTGTTTTTCCTCTTTCAGATCCCAATTACTTTGAATTGCTCCCATTTTTGACATTTTATTCTTAACCAGAATCGATCTTGTTTCCTGCAGTGCACAACAGAAGGAATCTTACCAGTTTGCTGGGTCATTTATGATGTACCCACACAACCAACTTTTTAGGAGCAAGGTGTATGTGGCAGAAGTACGTTTTAGTTTATTGTATTGTTGTAAATTCTCATGAGTGCCATTATTCTCACACAAAAACGTTGAAAACTGTTGATTGTTCTCGTTGGGGTTTGGTTTTCCTGAGTACGTACATTACCCACTCTTTTCCAGCACTGCAGCACTACAATAATGCAGCAGCACCGATTATTTGGCACACGATCAACTCGAGTTCAAACGCAATGCAATAAGATGAAACGTGGGAGAAGTGAAACCGACACATAAATAAATGATGTAACAGCAAAGCAATTCCCGTGCTAAGAAAAAATACCAAAAAAAGGGCGAGTAAACAACAAACCTGGAGGTTACATAAGTAATCTTAACAGAGCGCATGCTGCTGCTACCAGTTTTGAATGAATGAATCCTTCATATTGCAATGCGGAAAGATTTCAAATCACGAAATGTGATTTTACTCTGAGACTGACAACGGCGACTGGACTGAGAAATCTCACTCTGCGGGATTAGCAATGGTAACACAAGGAATGGTTTCGGCAGCATTCCATGCCACACGACGGTCCAACAAAGTCAAGCACAAAAAATGGAAATGCCATTGGGGACGGAGAGAGAGGAGAGCAGTGTCCCATTTTACGTACTCGTGTGTGATCCATATTTCATGCTTGAGGTATTGTCCACATTACTCGGAATTACATCAAGTAATCCCACGTCCAGAATTTTCTCTGGACGGAACGGACTCGCATAATTCTAATATCTCAATTTGTGCACAATGGAGTGCAAGAAAGTAGAATAGGCAAAGTCCATCAAAATTACTTACCGAGTCAGGACTATAATAATTTGGGCTTCATTGTGTCCAGTTGTTCAGTTGACTCCAAAATTCTCTGGATAAAATTTACTCCAACTACAAAAAAAGTATGTAGTTCTCAATGTCACGCACTCCCGTCTCAATACTATTTTTCACAAACACTCATTTCACATATGTACGAGCACTTGAGGTCTCCTGAAAAAAAAACAAGAAACTGTTCTGAAACTTGAATTCGTTTGTTTATGTGTTTCAGTTTATTACAAAATGAATGTGTTCCGTCAAAAGAGTGCAAACAATTACATGTATCAAACGAGATCTAATATATCCACTGGTTTTAAAACCCTCGTTCAATGTGCCTGAAGCAATGATTATGCACGGAGGACTTATAAGAGCACAAACTTATGTAAAATTGTAAAATAAATAAGGATGCAAGAAAACTAAATAAACTGTCTCGTAAATTCGCGTATCGACGACCAAGTCAAATAGGCCTGATTATACTGCCAGCACCGCACGAAACCACATCACACTGCTGAATGCATGCGATATCTGGTTTTGGTTTGGCTTTGGGACGACGAGCAAGGCGAAGAGGAAACCACAAGCAAAAGTGTTGCAGACTTTACCACGCATATAATTGTGCACAATTTCGCCTTGACTTGAAATATGAACCGGCAGGTGTTTCATTGTGCTGCGAATAATTTGTTGACTTATGCTTAATAACACTTAATGCCTCTGAATTTGCCACAGGACGTGCTGTACTCGCTTGTCCCCTCTCACTGTATCGGCATTTGGTGTCTGCATGCTGACATTGTATTTTTGTGTAGTGCTGCATAAGTGGCTTGCTTGATCTACTCAATGCTAAGTAAATGGCTACAAATCATGAGCTGTTTCTTGCGCACGAGATACCGGGGAGTAGCATGATGTTGCATGTAATGAATTAATTTGATCAGTGTTTCACCAACACACGGCAGAATATCGTGGCAAGTGCAAGGTTACAAATCTTGCTAAAAACATGCACAAAAAATACCATGTCTGGAAAATCTATCTAGCGTACCAGTCACTCCATGGAGGAGAAGAGTTGTTTTAGAGCTTCTTTCGCAGCAAATCCAGAAAATCCCAATCCCGTCCAAAAATCTCCTGAATTGGCACTGCACGCAATCTTGTGTTGTGTGTCAACTTGTTAAAAAGTATGAAAATGTTGCGGAATCAGCAAGTACACAGACACACCGGGCTGACACACACGGGCAGAGAGAGAGACAGACAGGAAGACGACGGGCAGCAGAAGAGAGGGGGAAGCTGGAGAGGGACGTCGAGGAGTGCGACAGGTTCTGGAGAAAGGCAGAGTAGAACTGAACGACGACTTGCCGAGAGTTTGCGATCCTCGTTCTGCGAGAGGAGAGAGAGAAAGACTGAACGTGAAGAAAGTCTGCTGGTAGACCTGGAAGCACTACTTGGCCAAACCACCACTCGCAGTAGCAGAGGCAGCATGGCACATATACCAAACACGCCGAAATGAGAGAGAAAGAGAGAGTAGTTTTGTTGAATTTCCATCAACCAAACCAACCCGTAGAAATAAAAGCAGAGATCTATTTATCTAACTTTGGTGGAAAAAAGGGTGCAACAAAACGCTGCGAGTCTGGGTCTCAAGAATTTCTTGCAAATTTTTCAGGAAATTATGGGGGCAAATATGCAGACTATTTCGTGCAAGGGGGGAAAGTTTGCATGAAACATGTAATACCTATTTATACATAGGATGTGTTGCATAAGGTGAGTTCGCTTTGGCCTAGATAAAAATTGGTCATCACGGAGCAAAGTCATTAGCTAATTAGCTTGTTGACACATGGAGGATTTTGGAACTGGATCATCGTCTGATTTGTGTAGGCTCCAACCGACCTGCAAATCATTCATACATCGTCCTCCCTCGATTTTCCTCGGGATCCCGTTTTCGGATCCGGATCTTGCAGAGTCAAACTCATGGTAAAGCAAAGCAGCGATGCAGACCGGGTTGGCTCTATGTGTAGTGGGTATCATAAAAAGAGTTCAACTTCTCCCCAAAATCTTAGCTTTAAAATGATATGCTGCTGAGGTTGGGGATATGCGAGAGCAAGAAGGACTTTCTCGGAGCCAAGACAGCATACGAGGAGCAGTGCTTGTAGTTTTCATGCAGACAGGAAAATGTGGGACCACGCACGTGTAGTCAACTCAGTTCAGCCTGTATAATTCCGCGACTCAATTTTGCAACTCTTCTCAATGCTATATATTTTCATGGGATTCACGGTGGAGACAAGAGAAAATCGTATACTTGTGGGAACGAGGAGATCTCAGAAAAAGACGGCGAGGACGACTGACACACACTGGATTAGTACATATGTATGCATCTCTTCTCCATGGGAGGGTTGGGGTGCCATCCTCTATCATTATGCGAATCTGCGATAAGCAAGCAAATGTGTATGTAGGAGTGAGATGCAGATCTGCTGCTGCACCATGAGCATGTATTTACGTGGGATAAGCAACCTTCTATTTGACCTCAAAACTTGGTGCATAGCACATATTTGACAAGACCTCCATGGCTGGAGAACATGTCCATATATGTAAGAATGCATACATGCATAAATTTCAAGATTGCTGGGGGAAAACTTTCCATACTTTACGTGTACGTTTCTGATTCTGATTCCTCCTCCTCCGCGTATGGACGATGGTCTCTTGACGGATTTCTACGTTGTTTGCACAGAGCTTCCGCTGTCATGAATCGAGTTTATTTCATACACTGAATTATTAATGATTCTCTGAATGTTTCTTTGAAACTTTTTACATTATAATGTATATTCGATGCTTTATAATGCTTCAAAATATATAGACGGATGATTTTGTAACACTGAATTTTTTGCATGAATCCAAAAGTTGTTGATGTTCAGGTTTGCAAATAGTTTCTTTTTGGCCGTTGTTAATCTGACACGTGCCATCTTTTAGGACTTTGAGATTACGTGCTATGCGCAGTTGAAACTGCTAAAAACATGGAAACAATAACAGCGTGTGCTTGACATGGGAAGAATTAATTTAACCAATTAGCTAATATCCTCGTTGATCCATCCAGTATTTAGTTCCTACTTACTTAAGTGTTACACTTTCCCAATTAAGAATAATTACGCAATTTGTGTTGAAGATTTCATTTCGCATTTATCATTTACACATTCGTTGTACAGAGCATATTGAGACAGAAAGTTTACACACTTACTAAAATTAACGGGTAGAAAAAACAAACTTTCTTTAGTTTATTTCCTTAACGCAGACCAGACTTGGGCTCTGTCCTAAAAAAAGTGGGAGTTTAATTGGCTAATATCATTTATAGCTATTAATCTGTTGTTGTTAGTTGGCAATAGTTGGCATAAGGTTATGCGCACAGCCAATCCGAGTTGGATAGGAAGACCCACCATGTAAAATGCAGCATGTGTATGTACACGTCTGAATTAATGCATGTCTCCAATTCCTTTTTTATCCAATTCAGCCTAAATTGGAATGTCTTGTCAGTCCATGACCAACAACTGTCCGACAACTCTCCGACAACTGGAAGTTCGTTGAAAATACTCCACTCCACTTTTTTTCTTAAATGCTGATGCTAGGGCAGCGTTAGATTAAGGGTTAAATGCCCAAATGACCAGACTTTCACAAACATACGTACGGACACACATGCAGAACTACAGGATTTGGTAATTAGATTGCTCTAAACTTTTGTACATGAAAACTTGAGCACACAACCACACACACGACCACCCAACCTTTTCCCAGCCAATGTTACTTAACTACCTCTGCACATCCGTAACAGCATTTTATCAGGAAACGGGAGTAGATTAGCATTGGAGTTTATGGATTAAACAGCACATTACGGCGGAGATTTGAGGAAATCACGAAAGATTGGGCAGCGAGGAGGATATAAATGTTCCAATGTTTTTCCTGACAGATTTTTTGTAAATGAGATTGTTCAGTTGAGGGAACTCATCGAAGGAGGCAGACGTTGATTTGATAATGCCCATGACAAAGTATTCTCAATGTTTATACAGAACTGCTGAACTGCTCTCGCCACTCTTTGAAAGCAATCATCCTCATCATAATAATAGCAACTCCTCGTAAAAGCCATCGCTGCTGCTGTGCATTCCATTTATTTTCTGGGGTTGATATTCCAGTATTGTTTCACAAGCTGGCAGTCAAGAATTGGCGAGTGATCGTAGAGCAATCCTCTTGGTGCGAGATTTTTGCAAAGTTTTTTCGTGTATCTTATATACCTAGATAATTTTGTTCATCGAATTTTAAGAAACATTACGTCAAAAATATTCAGAAGAAACATATACATACACAAATTAAGTATGACATCATTGACCCTTGTGACGCTCAAAGTTTAGGAGGAATTTAATCCCCTTTCACGTGACATAATAAAATCTACAGGAAAGACAAGATACAGTCATCAACATAATTGAACGAGTTGTCCCACTCACAATCCTAAGAAATGAGGTGAACTATCAACGAATGCCAAAAGAAACGACTCTTTTTCCGACTTGAAAGAAAAGAAAGACTTTACTGTCAACTTGGTCTCCATTTCATTCTGCACAAACCAAGCTCACCACCGACTTTCGCGTATACATACTTCTCATACTTCTCAGAGGAGTACGGAGATCGTGAGAAGCAAATTGTACGTGGATGTGAAGACGCTACGTATGTGTGTACAACAGAGAAATACATATTTTTCACAAACGAACCGACCTCTTCATCACTTGTTTGGGGGACCAGAAAAAAATAAAACTTAAAGTAGAACCAGCCAGTTAGCTAGTTGGTTGTCGTTACTTAGCTTGAGCAGTCAACTTAGTTTGAGCAGTGACATAAATTGCAGTGGGATATGCAACGCCAGATTTCCCAAGTTATTAGTGAATATCATCCGCAGTGTGAAATATACGTACAATAAGTTCCATGTTCCGTGCCTTGAATTCAGTTTAAGGGACTCCTCCTTCCTGCCTCGTAGCAACAATTGAGCGCAGGGATTGCCGAGTACAAGAGCTAAATTTAATTAGCAATTCGCTAAATTTTAGCCATGAAATATTTTGGATTTCTATACGCCCACTCCACGCTTTCGGTCCTCGGCGTATGTGCGTTTCTCTCGGGTAATGCTTTCACTCAACTTATCATTATACCTTTTGGACAAGATTGTTTCTGTGCAAATTAGAGACGGAGAGAGAGAGAGAGATAGAAAGGAAGACATAAAGTATTCTTTGGTCGGGATAGCTTTTGGCAGTGCATGGCCCGAGGGACTTGTCTCTGAGGGATTAGCGTCAAACAGAGGAGAAAGTCGGAAACGTAACAATATGCGAATGTCCTCTGTCATCCGCATTTCGTCTTCTTCTCTACGTGCTTTTGAAGTCGGGCTTGAGCTCAACTTGCCACTTTCCCTGAATAATGAAAGAGGAGCAGGCTAAGCCACAGGGAAATTTTCAACAGTCACTTTTGAGTTCAAAGAATTTTATGAGCAGATTGAATTAATGGTTGTGAGTAAAATTATTATTCTGGCAGTAAATATGTTTAGCTTAATGTATGTACATGCCTAATGTAATGTGGTTTCTGTAAAGTAGGATTTTCGAGCATGTGGTATCAGCGATGAGTTCTTTATGACATAAATATCTCATGGAGATTTCCTGTTGGATTTGTATCAATATATGCAAATGTACAAAACGTGAATCTACAAATCCATACAATGTTTGTACACGCGGCTCATTTTACATATGCACTGTTATTGTTAGGACTAAGAAAATAGAATATTCGCATATGGCACAAAGTTTGTGGGCAATTTGTACACAGATCTGACCTAATGAGAACTATGTACATATGCAAAAATTTGAAAACCAGATCATTTCAAATTGCTCAACAACTTGGGACATGTGTATCTATCCTCTCAAATACATATTTTAAGTTCATCTGGATTTATTTTGCACGCGTTATGCACTTCACGCCCACTTCAATATATTCTGAAGATCATCCCAGACATTCTGCACTAGGAGAGACCACAAAATAAGCAAACAGAAACTTCGAGAGTGAAAAAACTTTAAAAATCCAGAGGAGCCAGTGCCACAAATTAATTGCGGTAATTCAAGCAATGACGAGAAACTACAAAACAAATTGAATTAAGCAAATCCAATTACGTAAGAACTCGACGGGTTAAATGTTAGCACAGACACGCTGCTATCACAGTTCTTCTTCTCATAAGTAAGTTAATGGTCGCATGCAGTGCCAGACACGACCACAGTGACAGTACTTTCATAATATTTAAATATGAACTGGTTGAATGACCAATCGACTGGATCATAATTTAACAAATATAAGTGCATGCGACATTTGAAATGAATTGATATTTATTTTCTCAATGTTTTATTTATTTCAAAAATAGTTTCACATTTTCTGAATTGTCGACACATGAAAAATGAGGAGCAAATGGCTCATCTGTTTTTAAATACATGTGATCTTATCTCACTTTCTGACTTCATTCTCGGTTTGCATATTTGGCTTCATCGCAAAAACTCTGAGAAGGCGAATTTGCGAGAGATTCGTGGAAATTGCAACTCCTTGGGACGCTCTTTAACTCTTAATCGTATGTGTAATGCACTTCTCGGTATTTGGATTAGACTTGATCACCTTTGATCTAGTTCACATCAAGAAAAACAATAAAATGCTTGTAATCCTAATGTCTCTGCTAATTAAGAATTACGTCGCACTCGACGAGATGGAACACGAACTCTCTCCGTTGCTGCGTCACCGTTAAATGGTTCCTCAAAGTCTAATTTGAGTTTAATTGTTTTGTTTCAATTATGCCACCTCTGCAGAACTGTGCCGATGCCAAATTCATAACGGCGTCAGAGGAAAATGGCCCCCATTCTCGAAACCAAAACCACATTCTGAAACGGAAACATCCGAAGAAGATTCCAAACTGCCACACCCACTCAAGTTGAACCCTCATTCTCACTTCATGGGAAGCGCCAACTCCTTGCAGCTCGCACAGATCCACAGCCCTCAAACCAAGCTCACGGTCCAAATCGGAGATAATGTTCAACTTCCTTGCAAAGTTCACAATTTGGGTGAGCAAATTAGAGTAAAAAAATTAAAACGACCCGTATCTTAGGTTGTCAAAATTTGTATGTATGTCTATCCTGCGAAATTGGAGTTTCGCCAGTTAAACTTAATCACAACACAATGTGGTAGCTGACTATGTGTATACACACATCTGTCAAATATTTTTAAACAATAGTAGTTTACAGTACATAAAATCTGTATAATCCCGCAGTGATTTGTTGTCAATCATCGCTGTGTATATTAGCAGTCAATCAGGAAGCGCATTAAAAAACAAATAGTAATTACCTACATACATTTGTTCTGTACACAGGGGAAAACCATGTGCTGTGGCGACATGGAACCAACATTTTGGCAGGCAGCAACATCACCAAATATGCCGATAACAGGATAGATATGCTGCAAGACTTTACTTTGGTCATCTCGAAAGTGAACCGAAGTGACGAAGGTGACTACGAGTGCATTGTCACGACCTGGCCCTCGCTCAGCATCGTTCACTCGATTGTGGTTCACGGTAAGATCTTTTCTGAAAATTGACGTTTACAAAGTGAATTGGCACATCAATAAAATGCATTTCACTATTTTCTCCCTCAGCGAGCAAAAATTACGCAGTGATCACAAACACACTTTTCCCTTTAAAAAGTTTTTTTGGGGGTTCGAGCTGGAGGTGGAGGTGTTCCGGGGAAAAGATTGAACAATAAACTCCAGACTTTTATAGGTTTATGTGGGAAGGAAATGTCTTTATGTCAAGAAATTGGCAAATCTTTAAAGTTTGAGTGCTTTATGCAATTTAAAACGTCACGTGTTCCTGGGGCAATTTTGAGTTGGAGAGAAAAGAGAATAATGGACGAGATCTGTTCTTCTTCTCGGAACTCTTCTTTCAAGTACATATTTTGTGTATTGTGTATTTCAACAGCCCACATCATGTCGTCCGTTAACTTTTTGCCAAAATCTATTGTTCGTCATCATATGCCAGTTATTTATCGCAGTGCGACCACACAATAATATACGACATGATTTAATTTACAGATCCCCCCACCGTGAGTCTGTTGACTCCAACGAATCTTATTGTGACGGAGGGCGAGTCTCTCGAAATTGGCTGCCTCCCCAGCGGAAAGCCGTTGCCTAAAGTGGTTTGGTCCATGCGGGTAAGTAAGACAAAGCTTGAAGGGGTTTTGTAATTAGCAATTTCGCGTTCCCACATTGCAGATTTCAGTTCTTGATGTTTACAATTATTTAAAAAGGATGGAAATATGCCACTTGTTCTCCACAAAACTTTCCTCAACCAAGCACGACTGCCCTTATCCAATGTGACACGGGATTATACGGGTTTATGGGTGTGCACGGCGGACAATGGGGTCGGCAGGCCGGCAATTGGCGCTGTTTATATCCGAGTTTTGTGTAAGTACTTAGGAGCTCTTTAAAGGAATTGGATCACGAATAATGGACTTGTCCAAGTGTAAAATAAATTTAACGCAATCCGTTTCATCGTGTGCTTGGTGTGGAATGCTTATTTGGTGAACTATACGACTTTGGTTTGCATAATATCACCTTTCCATTCGCCAGATTCGCCTGAAATTGAGATTCCTAGAAGACGGGCACATGGAGGACAAGGCTACAAGGTCCAATTAGTGGGGCTCGTGCATGCCGATCCCAAACCAGAGGTATAATAATTTCATTGATATACCGCGTGCTTACTAATGACGTGAAGGATTCATGCCATGATTCACGATTTGTTCCCGACGTTGTGTAGCAATAATACATAGAAGTACTCGATTATGCTCGAATGATGTTTCCCACTTATGGCTTTAATTATCGCTAAAATTTAATTGGCCTGAGATCTCGGCAAAGATTGGAACTGGGAACTTTTGGGTCTATGTATCTTATGAGTAGTCTTTATAACGCAAGTAAGTTACATACGTACTTACATTGATACGCATATTTTAGGTACGTTGGCGAAAAAATGGAACCCTGATATCAAACTCGGACCGAGATGACAGAGTTCAGATGGAACTGTACGAGAGGAACGAGTACCGTCTCGTTTTTAACTCTGTGAAACCTTCGGATTTTGCAACTTATTCCATTGAAGCCAACAATTCTCTCGGAGTTGACATGAAAAATATAGAATTTCTTGGCAAGTCCTTAAGTTAATTATGAATTAATGCTCAAGTGCACTTTGACTTTATCCAATTAGACTCGAGACAATTTTCTGAATAAGAATTGATTTATCCTCTATCTGACTGAGCAGGAGTTCCCGACATCCCAATTTTGACACGGTGGGAGGCAGAAGATGTAGATGGGATTCAAGTCACTCTCTACTGGGCTGTGGAGTGCTACAGGTACGTACGTAGGCATATTTTTACCTACGTTTATATGTAGTACTTATGGCTTCAAGTAGTATTTCAATTGGTCATGCATAAAATATTGCAGTTCGCTAATTGAGTACAAGTTGTTCTTCCGTCCGGCTACAATTCCTCCAGCCGATGACTTGTCGGATGAAAGTGCGTTAATCAAATTGGCGATCCCAGCCGACAAGTTTTCAGACACGGGAGAATCCTTTCTCCACACAAAGTCCTTCACCCTTCGAGGCCTCAACCGATCCTCCATTTATCAGGCTGCAGTGCAAGCCAGGAATAAATATGGATGGAGCCTCCTCTCCTCGCTCTGCTACTTTGCCACTTTCCCCAGTAAAAATTTCGCCATAATTTATTCAAATTTTTCAGTTCCATAAATATGTGATTTTGCAAATGTTTCAAAACCGATTTTTGTGATGTACACATAGATTCGTCGAGCACTAAGTCCCTCGAGTTAGAGCAAGTCATGTCAAAAATGAAGACGGCTTACAGAGGTTGGTTTTATCGAACCGAGGAAAATATATACACATGAAGGGCACACGATACATACAAATGTGAATAATAAAATGTACTTTTTTCCAGTTGAGACTGGTTTTACACGTGACGGAGGATCTGCTCAAAAATCGACAGATGCGTCACCACCGTCGTCTTCATCGTCAGTTCTGCTTTCTCCGGGAGAAAGGAGCACCATATTGGTTTTGTGGGCTGCTATTGTTGTTGTAGGGTCAAATGCGTATGGAGCATCAGGCAGGTGGCTTTGATTGGTCTCGTCTCATTTTATTGGGTCGATGCTCAATGAAATTCCGCTGACAAGATGACAGCCAGCAGAGACTGTGCTGTGCTGCCATTATTTTATCCAGTCGTAAACTTTTATTCTTGATTTTCTACTAGTTTTCTACGTAGCGTAGTCAGCCAAATAAACTATAACTGAAAATTATTGTGTGGCATTATTTCCTTCTGTGCAATGTTTCAATGTAAGATGTAGAAAGAAAGTGAAGTTTTTCAAGGTACGCACTCTCAGCCTCTGGTCGCGATCGGTTGTGAAAAAGAACAGAAAATGTTACATCATGATTTTGTTTCTGTGATACAAATGTAATTCATTTGGGTAATTCCAATAATTTAAATAAGATGTATTCTCTGCTAATTCTAGTAATTATTTTGGGACTTTCATTCATTTCGAGTGCACTATACACAAGTCTTAACTTCAATTTTTGAAGTGGTTCCAGTGAAAAATGTATGCACGTAGATATTGCACTGCACTATACAGCATTAAATTAATTGAGCAATGATGTATTGTTGTCTAATTATAGTATTATCTAAATATGCGACAAAATACTATAATGTATATTAATCATTAAATGTTGCGATAAATTGGTCTTAAATATTTTAAATGCAATGGATTACGTTAGAGCCAAAAATAAATGCAACTATTATTATAATTAAATTGATATAAACCATTTTGTCAGCTCTTTCCGAGATACAAATTCATTGGTTTCTTTGAATAGGACTAACTCGACCACTTTACAGAATTATTGATTTACTCAAACGACCATCATCGAACAGTTGCAAATTCGTTAAGAGCGATCAATTGGGTAATCACTTTTGTTCAATAATTGTTCAATAATAACTCTGTAAAAGTAGTTTCAGGAACGACTATGGGCAAATTGGAAATTGCAGTTGTGAAATTATTTGCATTTGAATAATGGCAATGAACAAAGGCCCAGTCAGTAAGCAAGAGTTATTAAGAAAAGAGTGAGCACGAGACACGCCTAATAAATGGCTAATCCTGTAAGAATTCACTCTCTCAAATTCCAAAAGTCCACCTGAAGAATAATTTTGACAATTCAGCAATTGCTCGTGGGAGGTTCCCTTCATCAGTTCGTTTCGCATTCCTTCAACCTGGTGCTTAATCCTTTAGAATAATATTCACATTCATATTTGAATTGACAACAAAGATTCGTTGTATTTGGAGCTAAAAAAAGTTCAAGAAAAGGAATGAGTCAGCAGACGCAGCAATTTTTTGCAGTGTCATAAATAATTGGATTAGCATTTCAATTTTACATATTTATTTGTACAAAGGTGAAGTTGCAAGGCAAGTTGGAACGAAACAAAGAAAACGCTACGCATGAAAATCCGTCGACTCGATTTATGCAGCATGTTTTCAAGTGTCATTTGTTGCTGGTCTCTTTTAATAACCTTTTTTTTCAGCCCACTAGATTTTATTAGGTTCAATACCACGACGAGATGTTAACAAGACAAAGGTTTCATTATTTTCCTCCAAGACGAACCCATTAGTGAAGAAATTAAGAAACAATAATACATACCAACACCGAGGTCTCTCATTCCGCAGGAGGATATGAAAACGGACCGTGCAATAACATGGTTTCAAGTGCAGGTTGGTTCTTTTGTGCAGCTCCTAACTTTTTAATAGTTTTCTTAACCTTTCCATTGTTCCAAGCAACCCCTTTGACTTGAGGTTATTATTACAAAATGCAGGTAAGCAAGCGCACTTCATCAGCGAACCATTGCAAGTGGACACCAGAGGAAAAAGGCGGAATGATTCCCATCTGAAAATTAAATGTACTTTTGGTTTCTTAACTCGGACCCCAATTTGGGGTTTGTTGCCTTCTACTTGGCTGCATGTACTGCTTGGGTACTGCTTGGTACACAAATAAATATGTGTACATGCATCTAGTGGTCTGGTGTGAACAGTGTTGATGGTTTCTAGTTGATGATGGTTGATGATGTGCTTTTTTCCCTTTGTCAGTTTTGTTTCGTTGTTGAGTTAGGCAGGATTTCTTGCTTGTTTCCTTGAGTTTGACAAGAAAGTGTTTGGGTTGTGCGCTGGCTGGCGAGAAAGTAAAAAAAGAGGGATGAATAAAAAAGCAATGAAGGTTCGGCACAGGGGGTGCCTTCAAAGAAAAAGTTATTAGCTTCTAACGCCAACCAGGTTACAAAACTTACAGACGTAAATAATCCCATTGTATTTCAGAGGAGTTGTTGATGTTTCACCAGATACATACATACGTAGGCCTCGTCTCACAGTATTGGCAGTAGTGGATAAGTTGTAGCTTGGTCGTTTCCTCAAAACAGAGAAAAGTTGCTTCAAAAGCAGTGACTGTTGGTCAGTTGAAGAGGAATTTTAGGATTTTGGTGAGAATTTTGGGACAATAAATTTAAGAAAAGGAAGCCGTTAGAAAGGAGGAGTTGCAGTTTATTTAGGTTCTCTTTCTCTCTTTCGCATATAAGCATTTGAGGATAATGACGAGATGAGATCGCGTAAAGTTCCGACCGTGTCTGTTGGGATATTTATTTGGAAAACCATTTACAGATATTCCGAGATTATGGGAAGTGGACATTTGAAATTCCAAAAAGTGGAAACAATGCAGTCGGAGAGAGGGGGAAAATGTCGCCATGATGGGACTTACTTTTATGTATGTACACACCAGACATACCATCCGCTTGGTTGAATGACGGGGGTGGTAATGGTGGGTAAATTGTAAAATGTCTTGTTCTTGTCGGACAACGAGGAGGTTGGAATAAATCTTGGGCTTATATTTCAGTCGAGTGTAGTAGGAATCGTTAAGGGTTTTAAAAAGATTTTCAGTTAAAAAAGAATTTTAGGAAACAAAACATTTTTCAGATCCACATTTTCATTTTTATTTGAACATGGACTCAAAAATATTTATTGAGCTCTCAAAAAAGAACCACTAAAAGTTCCAATAACATTTACATCAATTAAATCCCTTTTGCGCTCCATTTCTTTGTCAATCTCTGAATCACCTCAAGTGACGCCACTCAGACAACCGAGCCAAGCAAGTCATGTGTTTACCGGGGGAAAAACCTCTTTGTTCATGTTGTTGGCCAGGTCAGGAGAACTTTTCAAAAGCACAACTGGCATATGGTCGTGTCCTCCTTATTCCAGCTGATCCCATTCATTTCCAATTTAAACCAAGTCGAACCAATAAAGGCACCACCAGGCCTTCAGTCACCCATCCAGCCCTGGTATTCTTCTTGTCTAATGCATGGCACGGACGCCTCACCCACAAAGCAGAGCATGGTTCGGGCGTTGAGGATGAATAGGGTTCATTTGTTCGAGTTAAAATAAAGGAAAGGAAAATCCGGCGCTCTTCCGTCCAAGGGCGTTTAGTGCGTCGGAAGGAATCATTAAATCGTCCTTCCACTTCGTCCAGCACGATAAGTTTTTGTATCGGATTGCGTTACGCCGTGTGGAAGCACGGACGGTAAGAGTGCCACATATTTTAAAGTTCGGAGGGTTCGATTCATTTTTCACGTTTCGAGGGGTCCGGGAGAGCATAAGGGATCCACCAATGTTAATGAGATAAGGACGCAGAGGGAACACTTTTACTTGTGACTCCTATTTCAACTAACTTGCATTTTCTGTATGTACCGATGATACGTATCTGTGATGGAAGTAAGCAGTTTACAACTTGGTATGGAGTTGTTGTGCTGTGTATAAAGGCAACGCAGTCCCGTTGAGCCACTTCATTCTTGCCATTGCACCATTATTGCCCCCTCCTGCAATGCAATGAAGCTGGTTTGTGGTACCCAAGCAGACTTAAATAACCGAAGTGGTTGGTTTGGCTGTTGTTCACCACGCTTTATTCTAAACCTTAACAAAATCCAAGTAAATCTTTCTGTTCTTCACCTTCGCATCGGCAGTCGGCCAAATGACGTAGCAAAGCCAGCACCACACATCATCAACATCTTATTATCATCACTTGGTGAAAAAGTGCATGCAGATCATTGCAGTGTCAACATTCAAAGGAGTCAGATCTCAAGTGCAACTTTGTGCAGTTTACTCAGTTTGGGGGACACATTTTTTCTACATATCTGAATTTGCATATGTAAACAAAATTTGTCAATAACATCGTGCAATCTGCCGACCTAAGCGACAATTTGTGTATAAAAGTATAATTATCAGAAGTGTAGTTCATATTTCCAAATTGAAGCTAATACACGTACACCTCATAAAAATTTCAACGCGACCAGAGTGAGATCATTATTAAGGTGTCACAGCTAAAATCTATTAGTTGTGACCTTTGGCAGGAAACAATACCATGCAAATGTCATTGTATCAATGCCAACTGCCATAGTGCCATATTTGTACCACGAGTGAGTTAATCTCATGCATTTATTTAGTGTGTGTCAGCATACTCCGTGCTGCAACTGAGAAACATTTGTTCTTTTATTGTACATCGTTTATGTGTAAAACAGTTCATCAGTTTATTTGCATAACAAAAACTTGAGTAATTGATTGTTGGAGCAGCTCCATAGGACTGAGCTGCTTAATAAGTTGTGCGTTGTTAGTGTCACGTTTGCTGCCAATTAAGTTGAGTGATTGATATTGATACTTTCCAAGTACATGTTGGAGCAGGTAGACAAACAGCGTCCGAAGTTGAAGGTGGAGCTGAGGTGGGATATTGGATCCATTTTGGTAAGTTGAATAACTTAATTATTTATTTGATTCAATTGATAAAAATGATCTGGGTCAAGCGAGCAGGCGTCAGTTCAGTCAATGGAAATACTTAGATGCCCACTTTAGCATATTACAACAGGAAGAATGCGAAACAATGCTCCAAGGTGTTTATTTATAAAACTCGTGTCAAGCATGTGACGAGCATGACGAGACGTATGTAAATTCTAAAATTTCAAGGATTTATTAAATGAAAATAGAGACTGGGTTGTTACTTGAAAGAAATTGGGTTGCATAAACATATTGTTCTCCCTGTAAAGGCAGCCAAATTAGCAAATTTCATAGAAATCTGCACATACAGCAAGTATCAAGTTGATTTAATTGTTGAAGCTGCACAATGTTGAATGTATTTTATACTTACATGTGTATATCATGGGGTACAAGAAATCATAGTAGTAATGATGTAACATGAAACCCATAGTTATTCGGTATGAATAATGATGTCATGTTAAATTTGATCAGGATTTGAGTGTCATATTGCAGAAATTAATCAAATGAGTCAACCCCGAGAACTTTGACACTTTTCTGTACAAGCGATAAATAGCATTGCTTGCTCATCCATCCGCGTCCCAACTTTTGCAATAACCAATGCAGGCAGATCCCCAAACAACTAGACGCCACTAATCATAAATAAACAAATAGTGCAATATAAAACTGAAATTTATTACTTATGGGGAATTTATTATTACTATTTACATATAGTTCTAATTTCATGGCTACGTCGATATCGTGGCATCACAGGTTTTTAATCTTCTCACGATCCCGCAGTTTTCGTTTTATGTCCTTTATAATCTAAAAACAATTTGTACTCCTTTAATTTGGAGGTTTTATTATAGGAGTGGCAACTCGGGACAATTATAGTCTTCCATTTAAGGAGCATCGTTACAACAACGTGTAATTGACAGCTCAGCAGTTGCAAGAATATTACGCTCGCATATTGTATAAAAAATGCTTGATGCAACCGATTAGCAAAGATAAAATTGCAGATAATCATGTTCTAACAAATGAACCTTAAAAAGAGCGATTACGTATCGTTTGCAGATACAAATTGGCCGACAGACGCTTACACTTAAAATATTACCATTTTAAGTGTCTCTTAAATAAATTGAACAACAATAAGGTCAAAATTTTGAGACGACATTTCTCTGACAGATACACATATCGCCAGGTATTGTCCTAAGATCCGCCTATTTATATGCATCTCATTCAGCATAATCTTATACTTTTGAAGGCAGCTGGTTTGTTAAAAATGCTAATATTGTTTCGGAATGTTTCAAGATAGTTTTTAGATAACAGTAATAGCACCGTTCACCTCTCATGATGTAAATATTCGCCGTAGGTGCCAGGTTAGTAATGGTCCGGTAATGGGGTAAAAGATGCACGGAAATAGCCTGTTTAACATTTAAATTGCTGTTCATACTTTGTTGGGATATTTCCCCATTGTCGAGAGAGAGAGCTTGGTTTTGGGTATTTGAAGAGACTGGTTGGATGAGAGCGGAGAACAAAGGATTTAATAAGAGAGTTGCTGCTGAGGAAAAGCTGCAATCAACTAGTCAGCATCCGCTTGGATGTTGCCGTCACAATTTTTCCATGATGTCCAGGTTCCAGCAGCCTCGCAGCCAGCTGTATTCCGTATAAATTTGCTTCTGACGTGGTATGGTTCCTCTTCCTACTTATGTTACAAATGTTGGAATAATCATAACAAAAGAAACTTTATGCTTTCTTTCCTGTACTGCTGCCCCCAATCAATGGGGCTCGAAAATATGGTCAAAATGATCCACAGCCAGTTCCTCAAGATCTTAGGGTTCTTAGCATGTGATCACGGGGCTGACTAGACGGTCATGAAGGAAACTTCGTCTGGGGCTGGGTGGCTCCTCACTAAAGATTGCAGAGCATTGGCAGGACTCAATTAAACCTTAATGAAACACCGGGGAGAGGACATTCTGGTCGTAATGTCAACATTAAAATAATCACCACGATATTTTTTGGACATGTTCCTTGTTAGCGACTTTAATAATAAACCATTTCCCGAATGACATTATGTTGACGAGAGATAACTAATCAAATCAAAGTGATAGCAACTGTACATTGTGACTCACAAAAAAGTATATCTTACTCACTACTCCATATCTACGAATGTTTTTTGTAGGCGAATCGTCTTCCTCCCAGGGATGTGGATACACTTGAGGTACGCATACTTAAAACCGAGTAAGCCAGTTAGTGATTACAGCCTCGTATGGTCAAGTGAGCAAAAAATGAGAAATTCCGCATTGTAAACTGAATCTGTTCCTGTTCTGCCGTGGCATCACAACGTGTAGCCAGCCATTCTCTTTCATTTCACCACCATGAAAAGAGACACTTCCCACAAGACATTTGTCAAGATTACCGCGTTTAAATTAAAATCCTCGATATGGAAAGTGGTGTCCTTGCTTATTTTCAGTCTTCCCATTCCATGCATATCATTTTCAGCCGGATTGGAGGAACGGGAGCGGTTTACCAGGGTGAAATTCGGCGCAGATGTTCTCTGGTAAGGCTCAGGTATTCGGGGAGTTGGTCCTTTTCATAGAATAAAAAAACTAGTAACATGTTACACACAAACCGCTCGAGGCACAGCAGGACAGGACACAGTGCAGAGTGCATTTATTTCCACCAGGAGAGATAAGTCGTTACAATAGTGGAGGGACTTGTGTAGGTAAACACCAAAAGACTTTGCTCGTGACACTCGTCCACCACGTAATATTCACTCGACCATCTGCATTCAGACCTTGCAACAATGGCAAAATCACGCTCTACAAAAGGTACTGAGGCGGCTATGATGCTCGTAGTAAAAACTCAAGACAATACGAGTAGCCTTTTAACAACAACAACGGTAGTAACGCAGGCATATAGGTAGCAGTCATGTTCATGGCTTACCTATGTACACATGTCCCTACGTTCTGGTGGTCTGGCTGTTGGATGGGGTGATAGGAGTGGTCTGCTATTGACGGATTTAAGAGATTTTCATTTGATGTATGAAGAGATAAAAGGAAAATAAATGTTACGTAACGAATGCCCATCCATGGATGCGGCAAGGAACAGAAGAAAGAAAGTGCGTAACTTTTTGCACTGCGTCTGTATTTACGATGCATTCTTTTTTGGGCAAGACGACTCTTGGCTGTGAGGATGATGCGATTGTGCTCCTTTTTTTTACTCTTGCAACATTGTGCGTGTGTGTGAATAATCTTCTTGCAGTTAAATTCTGAAGGTTGAACAAGGCTGATGAGAGAGAGTGAGGAGGAGATCGAGAAGGTGTTACCAGGTCGAGACCAGCAAATCTGTTCCGTGTCGGTGTGAGAGCATTAAATCGTAAATTGACCACCAAACCAACGCCAGCACCACCACAGTGCAACAATTGATTGGATCGGATCATTCCAATAAATGCATCTCATATATTACAGTCTTCATAGGTGTTTATCTCAATCGTTTTTCCTGGGGTGGTTGGTCGATCGTGCGGTGGTGGATGGGTGCGTGGGCTCATTTTAATTAATGGGCAGTGGGTTTCCGCACTACTTATGTTATCCTCGTTTTTTAATGGTACTGTCGTAATTTTGGATAAGATGTGACAACCATCAGAAGTCTTCCTTGTCGAGGGAGTTTGAGTGCAGTGGCTATTTTCGTTGGTGGGAGGTAGCAAGTCTTCCTGAGCACATTGTTATTAATTATTCAGCGATGAGATCTTCAATGGAGAATCTCTAAGCATAATCTTCTTTCAGAAGTATTTATGTAGATGCGTAGCTTCGAGGATGGACGGGTTTGGTTTGTCGAGAGATGAGATCAGTGAGTGATTGCTGCCCAAATAAAATTGTCAATGTCTTATGGACCATTGCACATCTCTAATCGTTTTCTTCCTTTCTGGGGTTGTGGCTTTGTGGATGAACATTTTCCAGTCATTTTGCTGCACTTTTTGCTCTCCATGTAAGGCAGCTTGTTCCTGTTTCCAATTTACGAAATATTGCATTTCAGCTCAAAAGTCTTTTCAAGTTCTAACAAGATGGGTCACAAAATGAGAAATATGAGTTTGATCCTAAATTAATTTCACTGTCTGACTCTTAAAAAGTTTTGACGTTGCACACGTCACATTTCATGTTCTTAAATTACTCTGAAAGGAAATACTGAAATTTTTAGAATGAAGTCAATGCGATAGAATAAATGCAGCGTATTATTACTCAAGGAGAAAAATGAGGTGACGTGCATTTGCATCACTAGAGAGTTTTTTGAATAACTTCCAAATATTTTGACTCCTAAACATCATTTTAACATTTAAACATACATCTTACGTATCTATTTCATGTCTACCAACATCTCACGCTGGTGTTATTCTTACTAATAGTGTAAATACATTTGTTAACTATAATTCAATCTAGATATCACGAGTTTTGCCAAAAAGTATGCATACAAGAAATTACAATTGCTTTTGTCTCTCATGTCCCAAAAACACCCAAGTTTTTAAGCCAACCAACAGCTGGGTGATCTTAATATGTAAGAAATTAGAATGTAACAAAAAATGTGCTAATATGAATCCAAATGTCCCACCAGGTACTTCAAGTACTTCAAGTACATGAGTACCTTAAGTAAAATAGTAATTACAAGGGGGCATAGCCAGATTAAAATGGATAAATTACAACAGTTGTCAAATTTATAGCTGGATTCCCATTTCCCTTAAAAGATCTAAATTACAGGTTTCTCAGAATTAGGAAAATAAATCGTGCGTTAAATCCTGGAGGATGAGCAAGAACAATGAGTCACGGACTTGAGAAATGTGATGCGATCTAGTTTTTAATCTGATCTGCGGTTGCAGCAAAGAAGTCGACTTGTGCTCATCCATTCTAGAAATAAATAAAAATAAGCGGAAGGAAACTCTCATAAACTTTGAAGAACAAAGCCAAACAAAGCAATCTTTTACTGCGTGGATACTGTTCCAC